TGAAATTCCACTAAAACTAAGTGTTTGATGACATGACTAATCACAAAGGGCCTTATGTGATATGAAAGCATATTTTGCTATTTATGCATTTTGAATGAGACAAAGAAAGGCATGTAATTTGTATATAGTTAGGAATCTGTTTTAAACATCAATAGAAGAATATGTCTGTTATGTTACTGTTGCAGTATAATATATTAAACTAGATTCTGTCAAGTTTTAATATGATTTACATTTTCAACTTTATTAAGTGCATTATTTAACCGATTTTCTAAATAGACTAAAATAGAACTTTGGGATTTAAGTTTTAACTGTTATTAACTTCAATTAATGGTGCTCTACCTCAAAACAAATCAATCAGTGATGCAGGTAAGAGGGGCTGACATGAAAAAAGCATCTAGTCGTTCGGATGGGACAATAAACCGAGGCTCTGGGTGTTACAGGCTGTGTACGTTAAAGATCCCTCGACAGTTGGAAATCTAAAAGGAGTAGTCTAATACTGCTGTCCTGTCAAAATTTTTCTCATTTCACACTGCATGGTGTTGCCTGTCATCATTAGTCTATAAAGTGCAGAAGAGAAGACGTACAATTCCATTCTTTCATTTTCACAATTTCTAATTCAGTTGCCCAATAAGAATGGCAAAAAAAGTCAATTTGATTGATGTGATATGTGAGAAGAAATGTTCTAAGAAGAGTGAGCTTATCCTGATTTACTGTTCTTAGATTAATTATTCCTGAAAGACTTACCTGGTAACCTACAACTATAAATTAGGTACCAGATGGTTTCTAACAGTACCAGAATTAGTTTCTCTAATGGCTGACATCTTGACAGTTATTCTGGTGTTACAGATTTATTTTAGAGGTTTTAACATGTCAGTTAAACCCAGTTCTTTACTTCAGGGTTGTTAATTAGTCTGTTTTTACCAGTCATGTCTGATTCTTTATACTCAAAGCCTGAACTAAGATAAAAATCCAGCTTTTAAGAAATACAGTAATCTGATTGGATAATACAATTTGTATTAAAAATCAATTTCAGGGTTGTTAATTAGTCTGTTTTTACCAGTCATGTCTGATTCTTTGTACTGAAAGCCTGAACTAAGATAAAAATCCAGCTTTTAAGAAATACAGTAATCTGATTGGATAATGAAAATTTGTTAAAAATCAATTTTAGTTTTTGACCAATCAGATGACTAAAATACTAAAATCATCTAAAGTTAAGTTTTTGAGAATAAGGCCTCTGATTGGGTAATGAAATTCAAATGTAGAATTGATAGAGAGATTGACCAATCAGATGACTCAATTTTTAAGGCCTTGAAGAATATTTCGCATATATGAATGCTTTAGTACAAAGGGCCTCAGTTTAGTGTCCAACTCATTGACTTGACACTTTTTCTATGTTTTTTACCCCAAATTGCATTCAAAGCAAAAAAAACACAGAAGAAAGTAAAAATAAAAATGCACCATTTCAATCTATGCTTTAATCAACTTCTTGAACTGCTATTGCTGGATTTTTCAACCTGGTTTCCCCATGTCAGTGATGCAAATCTGAAAGATGCTGTCCTGGAAAAATTGACCTCATGGCACACTGTATAGGGTTGCCTGTCTTCATTGGCCGAATAAGGTGCAGATGAGTTGGACGTAAAACTCCATTCATTTTATTTTTCCCCCATGTAGCAAACTAACTTATTCTTTAGTAAACCTTGAAATAAGATGTTTTAGGTTAGAACAAAAAATAGTTTTAGTAGAGCTGTTTATTTTATAAACGGTTGTATACTTGGGTAGAATATTTCTTTTTCATAGATAATTTTACATCCACTGACGTCAAGACAAATTTTTGGCATCTTTTTTTTGAAAATCCACGCCTGTTGATTTGGAGCAATGCCATTATTATTTATTTATTTAATAAAAGTAGAGTGTTTTAAGATGTAGGTCCTATTACTATAATAATATTGACTGAAATTGTTTTTTAATTAGGTATAAGATGGACTAGCACATCTGTAATAATATTTGTATTGATTTCATCTGGACTTGAAACACAACAAATAGACACCAAATGATTGTTCTGTTATGTATCTAAGTTTGGATGGGACAATAAACCAAGGCCCTGTGAGCTACAGACTGTGCATGTTGATTATCCCTCGACAGTTGGGAATCAAAAAAGAGTAGGCTAATGCAATGCAAGTCCTGGCAAAAATTTCCCTCATTTCACACTGCATGGTGTTGCCGTCTCCATTAGCCCTTTGGAAAAACAGAAGAGTAGGACTTAAAACCTAATCCTTGTAAGACATTTAGAAGTATCACAGCTCATTAAGAAACAACAGTTTTTATGAATATAGACTTCTATTTATTATTGAACACAACGTTTAAAACTTGTTTGTTCATCCACCCTTTTTAAAAAAGACACAAAACTCATAAATCAGTGTTATCTTCAATTTTGGAAACTGTGGGTACAGTAGTCTTCAGTCAAAGACTAGTTAACTCAAACATGAAAATTTATCCAAAATAAAGTTGTGTATTACATATTTGAGAATTTTGTGTGATGTAAATATAAGCTTACATCAGCATGTATTAGTTCCATTGTTATAATGTTAAGTACGTATTGGCAGTAAACCAGGGTATCTACTTATTACCCTAGATATCTAGGTTAAAAATTATTGTTATTGTTGTATTTATTGTAATAAATGTAGTATTCTTTCTGCCAGTATATGCTAATGAGGCACCAGGACACAATAATAACAGTAAATTAGGCTTCTGACCCCAGATCTAGGTTAAATATTGTTGTTTTTGTTATTATTGTTAAATAAGTAACATAGTTTCTGTCAGTATATTTATGCCAATTAGTGCTTTAGAAATGTTATAATGTTCATTTTCATCTCTGGAACTCTCTTCAGCAACACCTACTTGTGACATACACTCAATCAGTGTTTATAAAACTCTCCTCTTAAAGAATGGTTCCACAGTTGAAGAATTGTCCAGCACAATAGAAACTTTTAATATTGCATCAATTTGCACAATTCCAAATTTCTATCAGAAAAAATAAGCTTTTATGACATCACTTTCTCAAAGCTGCTGTGATTTCATAAAATGCATAGTTTTTGTGAAATTGCAGGAACTACTGACAGATTGACAATTGATGCTATCAGTATCTCTGATACTAAAAATTTTTTAAGAAAACTTCTTTACAATCCTGTTACTAGATGCATATGGTTTATTACCAACATTATTTTTGATAAGTGTGTTTAAACAGGAGGGCCTGTGTGCTACAGGCTGTGCACATTGAAATCCTTTGACTGTTGGAAATCGAAAAAGAGTAGGCTAGTGTCGCTGTCCTGGTAAAATTGCCCTCATTGCACACTGCATGGCATTAGCCTAATAAGGTGCAGAAAGGTTCATTTCATATCTTTACCTAGGTATTGCCAGATATTGACATAACTCTCATGTCATATGATGTCATCTTACTTTAGTTTTTTTTTTTCTCAAGATATTAATCGAGCCAAAACAAATTATCATGGAAAAGCTACAAAAACATGAAAGGGAAATTGTGTTTACATTGCTATTTATTGTTTTGACAGTAACCTATGTAAAAGTAGGCTAGGTGTAAGAAAGATTAGTATTAATATTAACAATGACATAATTAACCGTTGAAAATAGTTCTTTGTTCTCATTCTTATTTTCCTTGTAGATACCATTTATTTCTATTCTTAGTTAATGCTGGGGCTATTTGAAATAAAGCAGTCAAAATACAGGGCCATAACTACATCAAGGCAAAGGAAACATGCTCATGCAGAATTTAACAAACAATATATTTTGTTTAAATATTGAAAATATAAATATGATATCTGCTATATATAATATACTATAGGATGTTTGATATTTGATTTGAAGGTTACGGAAGTTTTATGATGACAAAACTGATTTCAAAGGCAACAGAGATTTTTGCCTCATAGAAAAAAGACCTTAGTTACGGCCCGAAATATCTATTATTTAACTTGTTCATTGTTCTGTTCCTTTTTTTTTTTTGTGTTTTATGGATTCTGATTTAACCTAAATTAACCCAAATTTAATATTTTGTCATGGCTGTGACAGTGTGCTTTTGCGTTTTCCCTTATCTTGAGATTTCGTTCTTGTCAAATTTAAACTATATGGGATAAACATGAAAATGATGAAGGAATTTGTTATTAACACAATATTAAAATGTAAACAAACAACGTACCAGACTGATCTAGATTAAAAAAGAAATATCTTTTAACCTTGTTTACATTTACATCTAATACTTTCTGCCAAATTCCTTCCTGTGATTATTGGCATCTCTCTATAACTTAATTAGCTTAATTAGTATTAATTAATTAGTAGAAATTGATATATTTTACACAAATATTCTCCATTTATATTTATTCTGAAAAATTACAAATTCTTCTTATACCTGATTTATTAGCATCATGATTTTGAGTTTTTGTTGTTGATTGATAATTTATATTATATAAGCTTACAGATCATTTTTGGAAACTCCAATGGCTCAGTCTTTTAGCATGGAGACCATTGAATTCTTCAACCTGATTCTTAAAGAGTATAAATCTAGATATCAAATAGTCATTATAAGAAATGTGAACTCTCTGTAAGGAATGTTTAATAGACAATCCAAAATGTTGTAGAACATTATTAGCTATGTGGACTCCCTGAAAGAACTGCTGAGTTGACAAACCTTACCAGTATACTAAATTTAAATATTATTAGCTATGTGAACACTCTGAAATGGATACTGAGTTATCAAACCAAAATACCAAATGCACACTATTTGCTATTTGAACTCTCTGAAATGGATGCTGATTTGACAAACCTTAATACCAGCTATATGGACTCTCTGAAAGGAATGCCAAATTTACAAAACAAACAAACATAGTTACTATGTGGACTCTCTGAAACAACCTAGATTCCAATTAGATATTTAAGTGAACTCTGTGAATTTGTATCGTTCAGGAGAAAGTGGTAAATATTATTGTGGTATGAAGTCACTAGTATGTAGTTGTTGTGATGGTTATTGTTCACCAACCAATCCCTGTAACTGTCAATCTTGTGAGAAACTTGACGAACAAGACAGACTACTCTTGTTATGGGAAAACCAACAACCGAAACCTTCTGCACCACAGATAGACTCCTGGACATGGGGCCAACAACCTGGTAAGTAACATTTCATTTCTGATTTCATGTGACAACTTGTTTGTAGACAGGATCCTCGCAAATCTAAGTTGCTATCCTGGAAAAAATAATTACATAAGGACAAGGTGATAAAGAATCCTTGAGAACCTAAGTTGTTATCCTTGTAAAATCAATGTCATGAGGTTTGGTCAAGAACTAGCTGGTAGACTGGATCCTTGATAACCTGTTACTGTTTTTAAATCATTACTAAGTGGTTTGAACTAAGATCAGCTGATAGAGAACCTATGTTGTCATGTTTATCAAATCACTACAAAGATATTAAGACCAGCTATTGGTCAATGACCATTGATGTACTAAGTCGCTATCCTTGTCAAATCATTACTAAAAGGCTTGGCCCAAGGATCAGCTGGTGGAAAGGTTTTCCTAAGCTTTGAAACATTAAGTTTTTTGCTCCTAATACAGACACCATTTTACGATATATTTCTATTTTAAGATACAGCTAGTTTAAAGAAATGTCTGTCATCATTACTTCACGAGCACAAACAGCTGTGTCTGTATACAGCTTCCACAACCTTCTCTTCTACGCGTCTACATCAACGTCTAGCTGTCCTAGAGCGCTACTTTACAGCACTGTGTCGACAAAACCCTCACGAAAAACGTAGTCCAGCCAAAAAACGTCCTGAAAACAACCAACCTACAAATGGCAGCAGTGCTGTCAAACAAAAATTGTAAGTTTATTTCCAAATTGTTAAAACCAGGTTTTTCTCCATCAGTGATGCAATTTCAAAGGGCTAACATGGGAAAAGTGTCCGTTTGTCGGATGGTATAATATACCCGTGTGCTACAGGTTGTGAATGCTCTAAATCCCTTGACAGTTGGAAATTGGAAAAAGAGTGCCAGTGCTGCTGTAGCAAAATTATTGTACACTACATGGTGTAGAGATTTGAATTATTTTGTCTTTAATTTTTTTTTCAGACAATCAGCAGTCAAACCTGCAGAAAAAGCAACAACAGGATTGGCCAGAGTTGGCTCACGGGCTGCTTTAAGTTTCGCTTTCGCCTTCCTGCGTAGAGCGTGGCGTTCTGGAGAAGATGCTGACCTCTGTAGTGATTTGTTACAAGAGGCTCTGGAAGCTTTACGGTCTCTACCAGAGGCCACTATGTTTGAAGAAGGCTCTGTTTCCATAGTATGGCAGGAAGTGGTGGAAAGAGCTACCAAATTTTTACATGGCGTTGTAGCAGGGTAGGTGGTTAATTTTAGGGTTTCTGGTCTGAATAAGAAATTAATATTAGATATGTGGACTCACAAAAAGGCATCCAATTATTTACCAAAACTTTGAAGTGCTGAAGCATTACTGAGTTTTATGTCTTAAATTAGTCCTCCCTAAAGAGATTTAAACAGGTTTTTTTTAAACATTACATGTGTATCAGGGACATAAATGTTATGGAAATAACACCATTCCAATGTTCAGTCAGACGTCTGTATGTCTTACAATTCCAATATAACTGAACCTGTCATCACTGTTGCTAAGGACCCTATATATCATTACCAGCTTTTGAGATAGCGCTAATCCTTTGAAAGTTTTGTCTATCGATAATTTAAAAAATGCTTAAAATGTAAAAAAAATTATATTTCAGTGATCTGAATGGAGGGGATAACGCCAGAAGTTCCAGTAAAATACCAGTTCAAGACCAACAAATAGCGCTAGCGTTGTTACTGGAACTGGCCATACAGCGAGGATGTCTAAGTCATATATTATCAACAGTATTATTATTATTAAACTTATGGAACAACAGTCATCATGATTTCGATAATCGGATCAGCTCTAGTTTAAATAGTGCTCCTTTAATACCCTTACTACGCAGATTCGAAAATATTCACAACCCTAAATTACGTTCTGTAGAAATGTCAACGTTTGATGAGGTAGGTTCATTATTTTTTCACATCTTTTCTAAATGTCATCATAATTAAAGAAAAAGTTACACTTGCATGATTTTCTGTAGTTCATACCTTTTGATGGTGGTTGTGAGTTCTAATCACAGTCAGTGTGTGACCTGGAACAAATCATCTGTCCTCATTATTCCCGTCAACCCTGCTGTTAATATCATATGGATAATCAAGGAAAGATCAATTCCATGAGAATCCTCATTGACGTTATTTTCAGTGTAAAAGATGGCTTCTTTCTTGAAAAGCCTCAGTGAATGAAATGCTCATCTATTTCAGTTTGGAAATTACCATCTAAGCCCAACAGAATGTTTCTTACGAGTTTTAACATATCCCAGTGATGAAGATAAGCCAGTAGATTTACGACAGAGTGCTGTAGTTATAATGTCACATCTAGATAGAATAGCAGCTCCATACTTTCCACCCACTAGTTATAAGGTAGGTACAGGGGAGTAACACCAACAGCCTTGCAGCTTTTGTTGCTCAGTGAGTTAGATGCTTGCTCAACACTTGCTTATTTGAAGTTCAAATGTTTAATTGCGGCATAGATCAAGATTAACCTTCAAATTCCACCCTGTAGACTAATGCTGCTGTCCTGGCAAAATTTCCCCCATTGCATACTGCATAGATTTTTTGGTGACAATTGCTCTTTTCAAAATAAGGTGCTACTTATAAGTTTTTATGCTATTTCGCTTAATAGTTTGTATAAAAAATATCTTTGCAAACCTCATTTCATCTGACTAATAATTTGTATTCTAAATTTCAGACTAGTGCAGCTCAAGAAGTTATTGGTTGTGGTTTACTAGGCTGGAATAGAAATTCAGACTCTCATACATCCCATAGTCTAGATTTCTTCAATGATACAGGAGGATTACAACAGATAGCTTGTTCCGAGAGATGTTTATTGGCCTTGACACGGACAGGGCGTGTGTATATCATGTATTATAGCTCAGAAACTCAGTCTCCCCAGCTCGTGTCTGGGTTCGGAGAGAAAGAAGTTATCAAGATCTCAGCCCATCCGGAAGGAAAACATTATCTAGCCCTGACTAGCGAAGGAGATGTATATTCTTGGGGTAATGGTGATGGAGGTAGATTAGGTCATGGGGATAACATGTAAGTTCATTTTTTAATTTCACCAGAACAATATTATCGTAAAAGGGATTTTAAAGAGGTATTCTAGATTTTTATGTGAATCGGGGGCTTATAGCATCGATTGGCACTATTCCAATTTCCAATCAGACATCTGTGGTTCCTGCAATTCTAGTAGAACTTAGCATTTTGTGAAGTCACTTTACCGGCCTTGAAAACATAATGTCAAAGCTTATACTTCAATTCCAATTCCATTTCAATTTCATTTCAATCTCATTTCAATTTCATTTCAATCTCATTTCAATTTCATTTCAATTTCATTTCAATTTCATTTCAATTTCAATTTCATTTCAATTTCATTTCAATTTCATTTTAATTTCATTTCAATTTCATTTCAATTTCATTTCAATTTCTTTTCAAATTCATTTCTATTTCATTTTAATATCTTGATTATTGTAGAACACGAGAAGAGCCAACAGTAGTAGCTAGTCTGTCTGGTAAACATATAACCAACATTATCTGCGGTAGTACGTATAGTACAGCCATTACAGCCACGGGGGAGCTCTATACCTGGGGGCGTGGCAACTACGGTCGTCTAGGACATGGTAGTAGTGAGGACCAATCAACACCTAGCATTGTCACAGCGTTAAAAGGTCATCGAATTATTGATGTGGCGTGTGGTAGTGGTGATGCTCATACTCTAGCTCTGGCAGAAACAGGTCAGTGGAAAATTGTATGTTCTTTCCAGCTAGTAGACAGGATCCTTTAGACCCCAACATGTTATCCAAGGATAGATAAATGCCAAGAGTTTGGCCGAGGACCAGCTGGTGGACTGGATGTTTAAGTGTCTTAAAAAATCTTACAAATGTAATTATAGGAACACAAGATATTTTTGTAGAACATAGTCCTCGATTCTGAGAACTTGTTGGTGCTAGAGTTGTTTGGCTAGGCCCTGGATTATATTTTGAATATTTCAGGAGCGGTATATTCCTGGGGTGATGGAGACTATGGTAAACTAGGACGTGGTGGCAGTGATGGGTGTAAAACTCCAAAATTAATCGATTTCTTCATGGGGTTAGAGGTCGTTCGTGTTTTCTGTGGAGCTCAGTTCAGTATGGCTCTCACAAAATATGGTGCCCTGTTTTCTTGGTGAGTATCAGACACATTTTATAGCCACTGTTTTTGAGATTTTATTTGTTAAAGGATAACTTGAAACTTATTGTTAGATTAAATCCATTGCTCAAATTGCGTAATTGTTTTTCAGGGGCAAGGGAGATAACTATAGACTAGGACATGGATCAGAAGAACATATCCGTCTGCCAAAGTTGATCAATGGTTTGTTTGGTACGAAGATTGTGGACGTGGCTGTGGGTTCGATGCACTGTACAGCTGTAACAGAAGACGGTGATGTGTATTGTTGGGGTAAAAACGAGAATCACCAGCTTAGTGATACAGGTGTAAACTATGTCATGGAACCCACGATAATAGCTGGTGTCGAAGGCAAGAACATTGTTGGTACAGCTTGTGGACCTTCTCAGGTTTGTCTCTGGGTTTTTCTTATCAACTTTCACGGTTATTTCTCAAGTTAGTTATAATTTCAAAATCGTTGATCACTGTAGGGGGTCTTGGGGCACGGTCACTCATCTAGAACACCTGATGTCACTTTGATATCCCTTGTGATATTATAATACTGTCACTCAAATTCTATCCACGTTCAGCTCATAATATTTTTTTCTTTCCCTCGTTCAAAGAATTTTATTTATATTTCAGACGTTTGTCTGGTCATCTATTGGTCAATGGTCAGTGAGTAATCGAATACCGTTTGTAGTGGACGTAAATAAAACAACATTTGAACATCTGAATGAGTTACTATGTGAAGTGTGTGATGGGATTGATAGCAACTCAAACTGTGATCGTCCACCTCAACATAAAGAATGTATTGCAGTTTCAGCCTTGAATCTTCTAAACCTACAGGTAATTACAGGTATATTTTGGTGCTAAAAGGTGGGTTAGAAGGAGAGCTGACATGGAAAGATTGTTAAGTCGTTTGGATTGGTAAAATAAACTGAGCCCTTGTGTGTTACATTTGAAAGCTTTAAAATTTTTACATTTTGAATTGATGTTTCAAAAGCTTCTAAACAGTCAGGTAATTAGGGGTATATTTGATGATTCAAAGCGATTAAAAAGTGGTTTGTAGTACTTTTTATGTGTAGCAGGGACACAGATAGCATCATTTTGCACCTTTCCAATTTTCAGTCAGACGTCTGTGGGTCTTGCAATTCCACTAAAACTTAATGTTTTATGAAGTATTATGGCAAAAGCTGCTAAGAAAATCTAAGGACCTTGGCAATAGCTACATCAGAAAATGAAGGACAGAAAAGTAGGGCAAGAACTGTATTTATATTCTTATCATGCCCCATTGTACACTGCATGGTATTGGTTATATCATCAGCTAATAAAAGAAGAATATAAAACTCCAGGCTATTCTATTATATTGCAGTTAAGAGCCACAGTGAGTCAGAATGAATCTAAAGAGAGTCTAGGACTAGAAGCTGGTAGCCGGTTAGTGAACAGTATTAAACAGAGAGTAGTGTGTCTAGCCAGTAACTCTGGAGTGTTGGATACAGTACAGAGAGCAGCCCAGTCAGCCTTACAGAGTGGCTGGTCTATTCTACTACCAACACCTGAGGAAAGAGCTAGGGCTTTATCTTCATTATTAGCCACTGGAAGTAAGTTGATCCTTATATCTCTTGTTGACTCATTCTGAACTTTGATCTTTGCATGAATATATCATCTTTTCTTGTTGTTCTTGTTGAGTTAATGCCAACTCATAGGAAGAAACAACTGATTTTACACGGATAACAACTTGTGTTCATGAGTGTCCTGTCTATCAACTGGTTCTTGGACAAACTTCTTGACAGCGATCTTTCCCAAATTTTCTGTACCCATTTATTGCTGGGTTAACATGGATTGACATGACTTTCAACACCTTTTGTTAAAATGAGAATTAATGAGTTATTATAACTCCCGAAACGATCTTATAAACATATATCAAATGGCAATGAAGGAAGTCAAAATGGCAGATCCTCAACATTGATTGGCGGTATTTTCAAAGGGAAATATACAGTAAATACAAAAAAGTAAAATGCCTAATTTGGAAGTATACAGATCCAAGAAATTTGGACCTTTACAACTCTTTTTGGTCCTGGTGTTTTCTACCTGATTGCACACTGCATGTTGTTGCCTGTCTTCATTAGTAAAACTGAAGCACTTTATTTTGTTTTATTTTTCTGTGAATCTAGGTAAAGACCTGACAATCATGAGTTCAGGACAGAGGTTTATGACTGATTTACTAGTCAGTAGTCTAATGGCTGATGGTGGACTGGAATCTGCCCTCTCTGCTGCTATTAAAAAAGAAATACAAGAAATTGAAAGTAAAAAGGTAAGATGGGAAAATTCCTTTGACCTGTTCAGCCATATTTTACATAAAATCAGGGATCTATTATTTTAAAGGTGAATACTGTCTCTTAAAACATTCAGGACACTAAGATCCCATTAGATTCAATCATTGTACACAAGGGTAAGTAAAGAGAAACTGGAAAGTAGTGTTTTCTAACCACCATCTTTTTTTTAGGCTCTCCCAAGGGAAGCAACTCTAATGAGACTTGATATTTTAAGACCACAGTATTAAGATTACTATGAAGGTATATTTTGAGTAATTTAAAGTCTGTTTGTTTTTTTTTGTAGGAGAAGGAGAGTGAAGAAGAATCTGACGATAAAATAGACGAATGTTCTACGTCAGGGGGAGAGAAATCTGGATCTGAGACTATGGATAAGTCACCAACTAATGAGAAAACAGATTTAACCAGAGCTACCATTCCTCTCTTACAACTCATACATCAACTTCTCAGGTAGGTCAAAATATGTTTCATGATTAGCTTTATTCTGGCGGTGAATTTAAAATTAGGCTTATGAATATGCATTAGGTCTTATATGTAAAAGGTCTTATGAATATGTAAAAGGTCTTATGAATATATAATTGATCTTATGAATATGAAATACCCCATTCCTATATATGTGGAAGGCTTATACAGAATAATAGGTGTTTTGAATGATTCTCTTTCTTGCAGGAATTCATCAACACATTCTTTGTCTCGGCTCCAAGAAATTGCCAGGAATGCTGGCGCCAAGTCATCTGACAGTGAACAGAAAGAAACCACTCCATCTCTTGATCTCTTGCTGCAATTCCAGCGTCTGCTCATCTCCAAAATATTTATAAAAGAAACCAACAGTTTATCAAGAATTATTGAAGCCAAAGAAGAAGATGACGCCATGAAACCATCCTCGGAAATCTGTAAGTTGAAAACTAGCTGTCCTCCTGATGAAGATTTTTTATCCAAAACATGTGTCGGCAGCATGCGATGAGTTCTAGTCAATTAGCTAACACTAAGTATGATGTTGAAACTCCCATTTCCAAAACTAACTGTCCTGATGAGGATTATACATCCGAAACGTGTGTCAGCAGTATGAGATGAACTGTAGTTAATTACCAATGATAAATATTTCAGGTTTAGAAATGCACGGAGCTGCTACGTTGCTAAGGAAATACTGTAGTTTATTGTGTAACCATGTAGGAGATATACTACCAGCTGCAGCCAGTATCGCAGGTCAAAGTCCACATTATTTTAGTCTGGTTTCTAAGATAATAGTCACCGATGTCACAGGTTGGTTTCATTTCTTAATGGATATTATCGTCGAAATATGTGCTTTACCAGCTGCTATTGTGTGTTTTTTACGATAGAATTAAATGAATAGAATTATAATTTCTCATTCTCATGCAGATCAGCAAAAACTCACCAAAGATTTTCAGCAGTTCTAAATAGTTTCTAAACATTCTGATAGGTAATTATTACTGATAACCACATAATATCTGCCTATCTGCACTTATGCATTAACCCTTGTTCATTATCTCAATGAGGTAGGACAGTAAACTCTAATTTATTTCATTTCATTTACACTTTAGAGAGATATGTAGCCCTTTTAAAACTCTAGATATTTGAAGTGTGTATTTGGACTATTTGTAGGAGTACTACTACCTGAAATGGTAACGTGTATGGTATTACTACAACTACGTAGTCCAGATATTATAATAACATCACGAGCTGTACCAGTATTAGAGGAGATATTAGATATATTAGATAAATTTAATCGTCTAGCTCCAGGACTTGATAAAGATGATCTAGATGATTTAGCCTGGCCAGGTGTCAACAGTAAGTTGATGATCAATGTTGTTAAGTTGTTTGTGTTTCCATTCACCAACATATATAAAAATCCCCACTTTTAAGGATTTGAGAGGAGAGGTATCGTCAAGTATCGATACACAACCAGACATGTTGTATGGTGATACATCAACTCACCAATATATATCGTGCCAGCACTAACCCCCGGTTGTAAAATCCGAGCATGTAAGCTAGGGCTGGGCGATATTGGTTCATGGTGATATCACGATATGGGTATATCTCTCGATATTTTTTAAGTTTGTATTTTTCTGGTTTTTGAAAAAAAATTATGATCTAGAAATTTTATAACACCCCAGTCTTGAATATCATGAAAAAAACATCTGTTTCAAATAGTAAGTTACTTGTAAAAATTATGTAAATTATCTTATCTGGACAAAAATTTGATGATATATCACGATATGGTATTTTTTAATCAGGCGATATTATTAACAATATAAATTGTGATATCGGTATATCGCCCAGCCCTAATGAGTTTTTAATGGGTTTTACCTTCTTAACGTCATGATCAATAATTTATGTTAATTTTGTTGGTATATGTTTATATTTTATATTAATGTTGTATATAAACTGTCCCCTTCTTGTAACTTAAGAGGTAACTTAATGTTGCTAGGTTACAGTGAAGGTGAGAAGAGAAACAACAGTAGTAAAATACATCCAATAGATATAGAAAATGAGATTAAAGATGGTGGACACTGGGTAATCATCCACGGCAAGGTGTACGATGTACAAGATTTTAAAACAGATGCTCCGTGTGGTAGAGAGATATTAAACGAGTATATCGGGCGAGATGCGTCTGCTGCGTTCGATACCTACAACCATTCAGATAACGCTCTCGATCAAATGGAGGAATATTATGTTGGAGATTATCAGGTAGGTTTTTTTTTCTGATTTTCTCAGGTTTTTTGCACTAATCATTATGTTTTTGGTTTTAACTCATTAGTTTTAATGTTTTTTTCTATTTTAACTATTTTCACTCTTATCATAACAAACCCTTTTACTTTGCTTCCTATTTAATGACCTAGACCAGTGCTTTTTTGAGAATACTATTCTCATTGCACCAAATTTTCTAAGAATCATAATATGAAAAATACAGAAAATGATGATAATTTTGTCCAATTTCATTTCAGCCTCCCAAAGATGTCAATCGAGCCAATGAAAACGTGGTTTCTTCTCCGTTGTTTGATACAGAACGAACCTTGGCTACGTTGTTAGGGTTACATGCATCAGAACAGGCTCGCAGTACAGCACTTTCTAGTGAAGAAATAGAGAGTCGTCATTGGTTACAAGCCGAGTTTTTCTCCGGTGGATTACAACTGTTACAACCCCAGAATAGTTACGATGAAGAAAAAGGTGAAAGTCGAACCCCCAGTTCATGTACAACAACACCAGGTATGTTTAACTCTCACCCCCTAAGACTACTATCCTTGCCCATGCCAGGCTGTATGAATGTCTCCTTGAAGGGGCTAACAACTATGTAAACGTCAATATAGCCTACTTCCCTCTAACGCTGGGTTGAAACACTGTCGTTTTGTGGCAGTGGAATAGCTGAGCTACTAGTGAGTTGGATTGCCGTCTGCTAGGCAATTAAGTGCTGTTGGTTCCAATCCTCCTCGTGGTAAAAAAACTTCTGATGCTTGTGCCACTGCTTCCGAGATTTGGCCCAATGTCTTTGTATTTTCAATTATGGCAACATGACACCTTTCTGTGGATGGAGGAAAAGCTGCCTAATTAATCAAAATAGAATAACAAATAATTTCTTGCTTCGTTTACAGGTGCTACACCAACTTCAGAACAGTGTCATCTACCCCAGACAGTAGATAAAGAGAGGCTGAACGAAGGAACGTTACAGACTGACGTCTCCCGACCCTTTCTCCAGGCTCTAGTTGAGGGTAAAATTAACGATCCCCTGGTGAAAGGTTTCCTGGCATTAACTGATAGATATTGTAAAGAAAATCATCTAGTTTTACCGATTATAGAACATCCTGTAGAAGATGTGGGCAGGTAGGTCTAAATGATTGATTGAATAAAAACAGGTTCGCATCTGCTTTCAGCTGACTGATATCACAAAATAGACAAACTATTGTTTCAACAGATCTTGTATAGCTTCATCAACAGATAACTTCTTATTTTATGTTAAAGGGATTGTGTAGAGGTCTTCTATTAGAGACACTGATAACATCGATTTGTATCTTTCCAATTTTCAGTCAGACATCATTTGTTCGTGTAATTCCACGAAAACTAAATGTTAATGACGTAACCATCACAAAAGCTGAAAAGGGTGTTCTGCACATTAAGCTACATCTAATAATTTCTTTTTCTGTTTCAGATTACTAATGGCGGTATTATTAAAGCATCATGATTTAGGACATGTAGTACTTGGTTTGTTAGAGCACGGTCAAGGTGAACCAGGTAGTAAACAAGTACTACCAAAATCTATCGCAGAGATTTGTCGACAAATTCATCATACAAAGAAAACATTGATCAAGGTCCGTTTGTTCAAATGTTTTTTGCATTTTTTTTTAAATAATAACTTTTTGGGGGGTTTGAAATCCACTCTCTCCTTTTCTTGATATGTAAACATTGACTATCTGACAAAAATTGGCTCTATTTACAATATTTGTGACCCCGCACATCAAACCAGGTATGAAGTAGCATTTGGTGTATGTAGAGTTATTGGTATATTTGGATTTCTGGCATCATCAGCTACATTTTGATATTAATTCCATCTCAATAGCTTTCTCCGTTCAGAAGATATAGTCAATTTAATATCCAGATTTGAGTCCCCTTTAATACTTCACTGTCAGCTTATTACTGGGCTGTACAACTTAATACCTGATATGATGGGCGGGGTCACATTTATTTTCTTAGGGTGCTGCAAATTTGAATGTAAAACTTAATAATTCAATTCATATCATCTTTTAAATTTTTATGCAGGCCCATCAAGATCAGAATAGATCATATAAAGAAGTTTGTGCGTCTGTGATAGAACGATGTCACTTCCTGTTTAATGAACTTCGACCTGCAGTGGGAGATGAGGTGTCAGCCTGTACCAGATCGAAATTATTAAAAACCATGCCCCGCTGGAGGGAGGTCATTATTAAGCTGGTTGAAGAAAAGAAAAAAGCTAAAGGTATGATAACTGTTTTTTTACATCCTCTAGGTTGGCTAACAGCTATCTCTACTACAACTCTTTACATCCTCTAGATTGACTTCCTGCTATCTTAACTATTACCCTTTACCCCCGCGTGCCTTTTAAATACTGTCTTATGCATAATTTTCCATACACCAAATATCTAAAAGATGTTTTGATTTTACCAGAAGCTGTCGAAGTTGCCCAAGCTAAAGAACAGGAAGTGGAAGGTGAGGTAGAGTCGAGCGCTGCCGGAGCAGAGGGAGGTATTACAGATGATGAAGGTAGTAAGGATATCTCAACGGTGAAAGAAGACGCTTCGCTTGACGATAAATCAGCCATTGTATCCGAGGATGATATCATCATAGAAACAGAAGATGATGACAGCGAGACGAAAGTTGGAGAAACTTTAAAGGAAGTGATTGTTCTTGAGGAAATTGAAACAGAAAGTATCAGTGATCAAATACCTACCAGACATGTCTCAATTGTAGAGGTAAGGAACATAGCCCAGGGTCCTTAAGAAAATCTTACATTAATAATAATTTTTTAATGCAATTGTTCATTTACTCATAAATTTGTTCATTAACTCATACAATTGTTCATTTACACATACAATTGTTCATTTACTCATTCATTTGTTCATTTACTCATTCATTTGTTCATTTACTCATACAATTGTTCATTTACTCATACAATTGTTCATTTACTCATTCATTTGTTCATTTACTCATTCATTTGTTCATTTACTCATTCATTTGTTCATTTACTCATACAATTGTTCATTTACTCATTCATTTGTTCATTTACTCATACAATTGTTCTTTTACTCATTCATTTGTTCATTTACTCATACAATTCTTCATTCACTCATACATTCATCTATTGATCATGCTTGCGTTCATTAACTCATACATGCGTTCATTAACTCATACATGCATGCATTCACTCATACATGCGTTCATTCACTCATACATTTGTTCATTCACTCATACATGCGTTCATTCACTCATACATGCGTTCATTCACTCATACATTTGTTCATTCACTTATACATTTGTTCATTCACTCATACATTTCTTCATTCACTCATACATTACTTCATTCACTCATTCAACTATCATGCATGCATTCATGCAACCATTCATTCGTTCAGTCATAGTTCACTCATACATACTGTCTCTATTGTAGGAAGATCCATGGGAACATGTAGTAAGTGCTGTAATGTCCAGTAGAAAGTTAAGATGGTTACGACAGAGACTGACTGGAAGTAGAACTGAGATGCCATTGGTTAATAAAATCGTAGAGTTCGTGTTATATGAACATCCTATAGATATTGATAAACTTCGGAGATCTCTTCACTTTCAGGTCAGTGGCATCCTTTCATCCTTCTTGGTTGTTCCCTGGTTTTGGCCTTTGACCTACTTTGTGTTCCCTGGGACTCCATGGTATTCTCTGGAACCCCCAGTGCGCTTATAGTACCCAAGTTAGAAACTTCTGCTTCAATCCTATTGATATTAGTACCCCTTCTCTTTCCCTAGTGTTCGATAGGGCAACTAGTACCTTTGAGATATGTTGAAATTTGAGATTGTTGGAAATATTTGCAGGTTGCTAGAGCTGAGCTAAGATTAAAAGGTATACAGAACATGTTATCATTAGTGCATAAAGAATACCTCATACCGTCTGTTAGATATAGTATGATGAATGGTTGGAATGGTTTATTGACAGTTGGCAGAAAATACCAGTAAGTTTCTATACATTTTCTCTATTGCAAAAGCCACTGCTGATATCAAAGGGACTGCCGGAATTACTAGAAAGCGATTAGTTTTTCGTGGAATTGCAAGACCCACAGATGGCTGATTGAAATATAACCGATCCATTTGGTGCTACGAGTGTCCCTGATACACTTTTAGAGTTTTGAAAAGCACTTTACAATCCCTTTAATCTGAATAATTTTTTTCAAATTTGAGTATATATTTTGAACAATATGGTGGTTGCTTTTTTTACAGTGTGCCCCTACCCCACTGTCTGAATGACGTGAAATTAATCCCTCCCTGTGATAGAATATTACTAGAGATGACGTTTGCTGACCTGTATCGCTGGTGTATACATGAGTTAAGACACTGTGTTATCAAGGCTGATCAATATTTTAAATCTCTTAACAGCTTCCCTGTACCTCCCATTGATAATTCTAAGGTATGTTTACATTTTTATTTTCTCATATGGAATCAAAAAAATGAAATGAATGGAGTTTCGTGTCCTACTCTTCTGACGCCTTCATGGAAATATGGACAAATATATTGCTATATTACTTGTCAGATATGAAAGAGGCTGCAATTTTTATCTAACCTTGATGGAACCTAGTATGCAAATATTTTATTGATGAGATCTTGGCCAATGCCGAATTTGGCAATTATTGGATGAACAGTTTTTTAGTTATTGCCCTTGACTTAGTACAACTTGTGAAATTTGGCTTGTAGACCAGATACAGACAACAGTTTTTATCAGATCTCAATGAAACTTGGTATGTATATATATATTGATGAGATCTCAGTCAAGTTCAATTTGGCAATTATTGGATGAACAGCTTTTGAGTTATTGCCCTTGACTTAGTAAAAATAACTCACCCAGCGTTCTTTATATTTACAGGAGTCTATGAGTTTAGGAGGATTACCCTGTGCCAGGTTTATTTTATCTACGTTAAATATGTTATCAACAGAACACCAGTCTTCAAGCCTCAGTTTATTACTAAACTCTGGTACTCTGGCATTAACACAGAGTATTCTGAGACTCGCAGGTAAAATGGATTCAAATTCCTTTGCATAGAAAATTTTACCACATTATCCTTAGGTTCATCAACTTGCCATCACTTCAAAGAGTTCACATAGCTAATAATTACTTCGGAAAGTTATGTTTTGGTATTCTGAGCCCCCTTTCCTTAGTTTGTCAACTCGGCATCCCTTTCAGAGAGTCCACACAGCTAATAAATACCTCAGCAAGCTATGTTTATTATTCCAGGCCCTGACCCTGATGTGATGGTGCCTGACAATAATACTGTCGTCTGCACCATACCAGAAGAACAACGCAGTCGAAAACAGAATCAGCCTGTCCCCCTAACTGGTACTGAGCTGGCCTCCATGATGAAAATTGGTGTCCGCGTGATGAGAGGTGTGGATTGGAAATGGGGAGATCAGGTAAAATCATCATCCATTTTTCACATAACAATTTACGTGTAAGAAGATTAAAATCTCTCGACATTGATTTCCTAAGGATGATTCGTTGTCAAACAATATCCATTGTTTATAAGGATAACATTTCAGGTTCTCTAGGAATCCTGCAACCAGCTGGTCAAATCTCAAACCAGAGGATCCTGTCTTGACAGTGATGTTGACCAAAGATTTTACAAGGGTAACAACTTAGGTGGTGTAGGATTCTATGTACTATCTGGTCCTTTGTCAAACCTTAGTATGTTTTACTTGAGTAGGATGGACCTCCTCCTGGATTAGGGCGTGTAATTGGAGAGCTAGGAGATGAAACTGTAATACTGTGTTATATTTCAGGATGGACCACCCCCAGGATTAGGGCGTGTAATTGGAGAGCTAGGTGAAGATGGTTGGATTAGGGTACAGTGGGATACTGGTAGTACCAATAGTTATAGGATGGGGAAAGAGAGGAAATATGATTTAAAACTGGCAGAACCCCCAGAACTTCCTGATAATGATGAAGAAGAAGATGAGGACTCAGAGTCAGGTGGGTACCATTTAAAAAAAAATCTCTTTTAAAGCAACAAGTCTCCACATCCGGTCACATGATCTTATGGGCAATAACTCTGTCTGATTAGAAGGGAAGTTACCCTTAATACTTGGTTTACCTTTTATCTTTTTGCACTTTGTTGTGGGGCCTTATTCTTAAAATGGCATGAAGCGTAAAGTTTTTTTGAATTTTGAAGTTGTTAGCCGAAATGGATGCTGAGGACGTAAAACTCCATTTATTTCAAGGTCATTGGAGACACATTGAATTATTTGTTTTAAAACTTTCTAATTATTTTCTAGATAAATGTAAAGCTGAGAGTAAACATCCAACATCTCTGGTACGAAGATCAACTATATCGTTGTTACGAATTCTATCCGTCTGTGCAGGCGTATATGCAGACAAAGCTCAGAAAGAGGCTATCAGCGCAATGTGTGGATTAATGAGAACCCTTGTAGACCATGGCTGTAACAGTGGACTCAGTAAGTTATTGTTTTTATTAAGGAAAGGAAAAATGAAATAGCTAATAGTAACATTATGGCAACAATTCCCTCATTGCACACTGCATGGTGTTACTTCTATTCTATACCTGTAGGAGCTTGACAGTAGGACATATATATATATATTTTTTTAGATGTTGTTTTATTTTATTTTAGATGTGATTTTATTTTAGATGTTTTTTTATTTTAGATGTGATTTTATTCTTGATGTGTTATTTTAGATGTTATTTTATATGTGATTTTATTTTTGATGTGTTATTTTAGATGTGATTTTATTTTTGATGTGTTATTTTAGATGTTTTTTTTTTTATTTTAGATGTGTTATTTTAGATGTCTTTTTATTTTAGATGTGTTTTTTTTTTATTTTAGATGTGTTATTTTAGATGTTTTTTTTTATTTTAGATGTGTTTTTTTTTTATTTTTGATGTGTTATTTTAGATGTTTTTTTTTTTTATTTTTGATGTGTTATTTTAGATGTTTTTATTTTTATTTTAGATGTGTTATTTTAGATGTTTTTTTTATTTTAGATGTGTTATTTTAGATGTTTTTTATTTTAGATGTGTTTTTGTAGGTGTTATTTTGTTTTAGATATTGTTTTGTTTTAGATGTTGTTTTATTTTAGATGTTTGTTTTTATGTTAGAAGTTGTTGTATTTTAGATATTGTTTTATGTTTTATTTTAGATGTGAACTCGACAGCAATCCAGATAGCTAGTGAACAACACTATAGTTGGTGTAGTCTGGGTTTTGTAAGAAGTATAGCCACCAGTTCTCCAGTCTGTAAGGCTCTCAGTTCTCATCACTGGATTACCTTGTTGATGAAAATATTGGAAGAAGAACAGACGATTAAGAAAACTAAGAACATTTATAGACAGGTCAGTGTGGAAGCTTCTTGGGGGCATCCCTTTCCTTTCCCCAAAAGGTTTATTATTAACTTCAAAAACTTCATTGAATTTTAGCTCTACTATGATTATAGGACTTTATGATTGTAACTGTTGATATGTTAACTCTTCCAGAAAACCTTATGCCATTATGCAATTGGGCTTGTCAACTCAGAATCACTGTCAGAGAGTCCATAAAGCTAATAATGTTTATTTTGTATTTTGATTGGTCACAAAGCTAATAATAGGTATTAAGGTTTGGCAGCCAAGCATTCATTTCAGAGAGTCCACATAGTTAATAAAGTCTATTTTAGAGAGTTTACAAAGCTGATAATGTTTATGACAATTGTATTTTTCCAGATATTAACTCTACGGTTACTACGAACGATATTACCAGCGTGGGATCGTGGAATGGATACTGAGAGAGTCACAAGTATCGTAAGACGTCTGTTCCGGTTGCTAGGGGTTGTTTTGACTTCCTGTTCTGCAGATCCAACTCTAGTTACCGAAGGTAGTGATCTAAATTTATATTTTCATTTTAAATTTCTCTTGTATGTTACAGTTGAAAAATTTCCCTCATTGCACACTGCATAACCCAACTTTATAACGAAAAAGGAGCATCAGAAATGGCCTATCCATAATAAAGAGTAATTTACTGGCTCCCTGCAAATTTTCCCTCATTGCACACCGCATGAAATGGTCATGAAATGGTATTGATAAAGCAATGCACAACCAAAGTAATACCTCATTCTATAATTGTATTTTGCAGTTGAGTCTCCACATCGTACAAGAAAATCTCTCCATATTCCCGTTTCCGTGACAGCGTCATATACCAGCACCATTGCCGAGGAAATTGTGACATTGTTACGGACTTTACACATACAGGAGCTCTGGAATCCACATATCAACAGATTTATCTCTGAACAGTTCTCACATATTACTGATTTACTACCTGATAAATACAGGCCACCACAGGTTAGTAACTGACAAATTCTTTAATTTAATTTGAGATATTTTGAGAATTAGAACCCTGGTGGCATATTCTCGAAACGATCTTAGAGCTAGGATGTCCTAGGTCCTAATCATCAAACATTGATTCTAGGACAGCCTAATGCTAAGAGAATACAGGGCCTGTACACCAGTTGGTTGAAGAATTTAAAAGAACTGATGTAATTACACAGTTTCCTTCATTGCCCATTGCATGGTAATGTCTGTGTTTGGGAAACCAATAAGGTGCAGAATAGTAGAGCATTAAACTCCATTTCAATTCATTAGACAGAATAGTGCAGCTAGGCACCAAAACCATCAAAGTTGCAGAAAGGGTAATAAATCATTGTATTTGATAATTTCAGTTGATTGAAATAGAGGTACTGGAAGAAAGTAGCTACCTGACAGTTCTCGCTGTTCTAGCTATGATAGGTGGCGTTGATAATCGACCTAGATTAGGTGGTCTCGTCAGCCATGATACCTACGGAACAGGAACGATATCTAAAATTACTCCAAAAGGGAAGATACATATACAGTTTAACGCTGATGGGCTACAGATGTGTCGTCTGTCTGAAATAACAGTTGTAAGTTTGATAGCGTCGGTAACACATGATGTTTGTGGGTTATCATCTTGATCAGCGGTTGAAAGTCTTGAATCAGTCATTTTCAGTCAACTGAACTGTGAATGGGTACAGATAATCTAGGAAAAATCTATGCAAAGAGGTTTGGTCAATGACCAGCTGGTAGAAGGGATCCTCGAGAACCTCAAGAACCTCGAGAACCTCAAGAACCTCAGTTGTTATCTTTGTAAAAATATAGCTGTTTGTTTATTTTTAGTTGCTTTACACAACAATAGTCATATTACTCTGCTGGTTTACTAAAGAAATGTAGGATTTGAAACTCCATTTTGTTTCATTTCTGTTGGGTTTAATTGCAAACATTATCTCTGTCATTCCCTTTATTTTATAATCCTGTAGGTACCAGTGATAGAATTCCACGTGGAGAAGTTGCCGTTGACAGAGGAGATGATCTTTAGTTGGTCGAGATTGGTTAGTCTAGCCAGTACATGTAGTATTATAGAGAGAGATACAGATATTCCCCGGGCACCCCTAGCAACAAGTACCGGCAGTATCGAACCTATTTGTAAGCCATCTTTTTTTAGTTCCTGACAATGGGATTGGAAGTTCTGATGTATTGTCTAACTCACTCCTGGACTGACTAAATGGAAGCCTAGACTGTGCACACATTACCTCTCAGCAGTTGAACTGGAACAAAGATATTAATAATTCTGCTTTCCTTTCTGCTTTTACTCATTGCAAACAGCGACATATGAATAAAGTAGGATAAAAACTTTAATTTATTTTGTTTACTTTCAGCTATTGTGAGTTATAACCGTGATGTAAACAAACTACAACTAAAACTCGGCCTACTAAAAGCTGGTCGCGTTTTATTTCATCGCCAGAGTATTCTACGTAGAATTCTACTTCAACAGACAGCTATTCCTAGTAACGAGACTGTTGCCATAGAACAACCTGCGCCGTCTGGTGATGAAGAAGGACAGCTAGAGACACCTAGTGTCAATAATTTACTACAACAGATATTAATGGCTGCCACTCAACCGTCACCTTTAAAAGCCATGTTCACACGCGAAGAGATGGAGGTAAGTTTTTTTTGTCTTTAAATCTGTTCCCTGACCATATCTTTCATTTTACCCGGGTCAAGCTGTGTCATGTGGAGATACAATGCCATGTCGTCTTGAAATGATCTTAAAGCTAGCATGTCCTAGGGTGTTAATTTCTAACACTGTTTCAGGGATATCCTAGTGCTAAGATCGTCGACGTCTGTAGTCAATTATACCACATTAGATTTTAGATTGAACTATATTTTAATCATGGTCCTTTGTTATTTTGCATTATTTCCAGGCAGCAGCTTTATCAGTGACTCAATATCTGACAGCTGAGATGGGATTGGTGTCTGATTCAGAACTCGATACCAGCTCAGAAGAGGAACAGATCCGAGATCTCAGTTCTAGTTTGATTTCACCCCCCAACCTACCCTCCTTCAACTCTCTCCCACCCTCCCAGAGTTCTGCTAGACCATCAAAACAAAAGAAGAAAGTGAAGCCTCCTGCCCCTGCAGCATCCCCAATAGTCACCCAGATGGTGGAGATGGGATTCACAAGAAAACATGTCGATGTAGCTGTTAAGGCTTTGAATGAAAGTGAGTTGTATTTTTTAATCTTAAACATGATTTGAAACAGATTGTTAACAGATTTTCTAAATTTTTCATGTGCATCGAGGACACAGATCTAAATCTTGGTCTAAAAACCTGCTAATATTGTTTAAAGCTCTTGCGATTGCAAGAATCAAACTACAGGGAGTAATGGATGATTATTTGAATATTTCTGGAATATTTTTGATATTTTTTCAGGTGGTTCATTATTTCCTGAGGGTGAAACACCAACAGCAGAGTCTCTAGTGGGATGGCTGCTAGAACACCAGGACACTGCCCCTCCTGACGATACTGACACAGAAAGTCTCTCATCAGTCGACGGCTACACCGATACAGACTCCATGTCTGAAGATTTTGAAGAATATGATTCTTTCGAGGTAAGAGTAGACTGGTAGCTTAGGGAAGGTCCAAAAAGTTGGTAAGGCTAGGGGAGGTACACAGGGTTAAGTAGGGTAGAGGAGGTCCATAGGGTTTGGTAGGGTAGAGAAGGTCCAATGAGTTAGATGGGGTAGCTTAAGGAAGGTCCATAGGGATAGGTAGGCTAGGTAGGCATATGAACCCAGCTTATTAATTGATATCTATTTTTAGCATGCTATGAGTGAACGGGGAGCTTCAGGAGGAACTCAACCCTATAAAAAACGTAATGATTTTATGAGCAGTGATGAATACGCGAAATACGTCCAGGACCATATTGAAGAAAACATGATGATACGATGTTGTAAAACTTACGAAGAAGTTCATGAAGGTGATATCGGTAAAGTAATCAAGGTAAGTAACTCTAATCTTAACCTCTAGGTGGTGATTGGTGAGTTCTGCACATTTGGTATTCATGGAAACAACAGAATATTTAATAACACAAGTCAGAATAGAGTTCAGAACGCGTTCTCTCAAAGTTTTTTCAAAAAAAATTAATACAAATACATGTGATATTTTTGTTAATTTTTAGCTGGATCGTGATGGACTACATGATTTGAACATCCAGGCTGACTGGCAGAGAAAGAGTGGAACTTACTGGGTACGATATATACACGTTGAAATGTTGGGATTCAGCAACCCTTCAGGTGAGGTCCTTCTCTTAATTCATTTTAGGTCATAAAAGGGATTGTAAAGGGGTCTTTTAACTGTGTATCGAAGGTGTCTGTGGTGGTTGCAATTCCACTAAAACTAAACATTATATGTCCTCACTGTTGCAAAATCTACTAATAATATCTTAGAGTCTTTAGGATTATGACCCAATAATTTATTTTGTATATTTTCAACAGAGAGCCTGTCATCCATTAAACTAGGAGATAAGGTTCGAGTGAAGCCATCGGTATCAACACCTACATATAAATGGGGATCAGTGGGTCACGGTAGTATTGGAACAGTTACAGGTAATTTTCCCTCATTGCATACTGAATAGGCTGATTAAGGAGCAGAAAATCTATTGCTTATAGAGCAAAGAAGGATGTTACATGTCGTTTCGATTATCTGATACCATGATTGCCCTGAGAGTCATTTTTTCTTCAGTTTATTATCTTTAGCTCTTCAGTGTGGAGTTAAAAAGTTCTTAACCATTATATTGGTAAGTGGTATAACGTAATGTGACACCTGCGTCTGTAACTGAGATATAATACTTTATTAATAGTAATTGAGATATCCTTATTTTTAGCAATCAACCCTAATGGTAGAGATATCACTGTAGATTTTCCTCAACAAGCTCATTGGACAGGAGTGATAGATGAGATGGAACCGGTACCTTCAACTCATCATAGAGTCGTGTAAGTTGTCATATTAATTTTAAGGATGCATCTTGGTCTTTTGGTGTGTTATGCTGGTGGACACATATACACCTCTTTAAGTTTGCTTTTTCAACATTTTTTCAAAGCAATGCAAATCTCAGTTATAAAGAAGCAGTTTTGATGGGAAGTTTTTTGTGGGCAGAAAACGCTTAAACTTTTTGCATGCACCTGACTATTGGATTGTGTTGGCTTGTTTTGAAATTGGATTATAATTTTGATATGAACTTGTCTGTTTTTTCATTGTTTTCTAAAATGTTTTGAATTGTTTAGCTCATGTTTATTTTGTAAATGTTTGATATATTCCAGTTGTCAAGGATGTGAGTTCAGTCCACTGACTGGCGCCAGATATAAATGTAAAGTCTGCGAGAATTATGATCTTTGTGAAAATTGTTTTAAAAACATCAAGACTCATCGACATCCCTTTATAAAGATAACAGAACCTGGTAAGATACCTTTTTTTTCATACACTGACTCTCGAAAGCACTGTCCTTGCCACTATAATTGACTCGCAGTCAACACTCCAAAATGTTACTGACTCGCTACCAACTGATCTGTTCCAACTGTCCTAGCAGACGTTAATCCCACATGTTACTGACTGAGCTTTCCTACTTTCTCAAGGACTTAGAACTTAAAAGCTCAGTAGTTTTCATGGCATGAAGTGGTATCTCATACAACAGTCTAGGTTTAGTCAGTTTAGTGAAGTTGCTTTCTGGTCTGTGTTACAGGTAGTGATCCACTGTTTGTTGGTAAACCAGGTAAAACCAGTAAACAATCCTCCAGTTTATTACAAGGCTATCTGGTCGACAATTGGAGAATGTGTGTCAAAAATATCACAGTTTCCTCTCGTGAAAACCAGGCTGAACGTCTGATTGACTCCAACACTGGATACTGGCAAAGTATTGGTTCACAGGGCAAGGTAAGGATACAGGATTCCTCAAACTAGATTTGTTGCAGAGTGCAGATAATCATTATTATGGCACATTGAAAATGTTTGGCTGGCATAAGCAGAATGCTTCTCCAAAACCTGTTATTTTGGAGAACTACAGGATCAAATCCCCTTGTCTTTAGTTGCATGTGGGGTGGAGATTTTTTTAGGTCTTGCTTTGCCAAACTTTCTCTCATGGTTTTATGGTCTGCTGGTTCATGAAGCTTAACAGAAAATTGACTTTCAAAATTAGATTCCTTGTAAATATAATTCCATTTCATTTAACCCAATATTTCACACATTTCAGCATTGGATTCGCCTAGAGATTCAGCCAGATATAGTTATTAATAGATTGTATATGAGAGTGGATCCAGATGATTCAAGCTACATGCCATCACTAGTTGTCATCAGTGGAGGTGACTCTACACACAATCTGAAAGAATTACGAACTGTACACATCTCTTCTACAGAATCCTTGGTTACTCTCTTACAAGATATGTCAGACGTAAGTTGATTCTTGAATATTTTGGGTCTAATTCTTATTCTGAAGGCTCAGTGATTTTGACAAAAATAGATTGAGGTAACGCCTTCATAGTCTAAGAAGTTCATGTTTAGATTATTTCATTTCATAGCTTGCTTGTCCAGGCATAGGTCATGATGGTACCTGCAATCTCTTCAAAGATGATGTTTAAAATTGACCTTTTACCAAGTTCTGTAGAGAATCCGTTTCAGATTCACTGAGCCAAAAAATTCAACATAGGTCATTGTAGAAACAACTGATTTTAGGTCTTTGTGTGTGAACTACTTTGGTGGCTTGATAATAAAAGTTTTGGTTAGGGCAATATTTATCTTCTGAATTTTCCACCATGTTACAGTGTTTGTAGAACAGATGTTAAGGATGTAAAACTTCTTTTTTTCAGTATCACCATATAATAGAAATAGCCATACGTCAGTGTCGTAGTAGTGGTATCGATTGTAAGATACACGGACTGTGGATTGTGGGAAGGTTGAAATCAGACGATGAGGAAGCCGCAGCAAATTTCTCGTTCCTGGCCTCGGATAAAGAGGAAGAGGAAGAACGAGGGGGAGTGACTGGACGAAAGAAAAGTAAAGTTTTAGTCTCCAGTAATAAAGATATCCAGACCCACGTGTTTGTCTGGGGTTTGAATGATAAAGATCAACTCGGTGGACCCAAAGGATCAAAGGTAAGGTAATCTTAAGGTTTTGGAAAACAAAAGGCGTCCCAATTTTGAGATTGGTAAAAATGACAACCCAATTCCACTTACTATTGGGAATGAAATGCTTTTAGATTTGAATGTTCTTGACTGACACTGAAGAACCAAGAATGTTTTATGTCCAACCTATATTGAACGGGTTTTCTTTGCCAAACATTAAGTTTCTCTGCCAGTCATGTCTGGCACACAGAGTCAATCAACATCACTAGCTATATGTTTTATATTTCAGATTAAACTACCAGGTATCAATGACACTCTCTCATCATTAAAATGTATACAGATTTCTGGTGGATCAAAAAGTCTCTTCTGTGGTAAGCATGATAGCTTATGTCTGTTGTGGTTGTTACCTCCCTTCTTATCAGATAGAGTTACTTGCCCTTACTGTTAGGAATAAGGATTGCCTTGAAGGACAAATTAACCAGAAATACATAAATTGATTTTACTGAATCCTACAAATTTGCACACTTGTGAAATTTCGTTTGTATAATTTTGGGAGAAATTTACTCTCTTGTGCTTTCGATTTTGAATTCTGGGATTGATATCAATGATTAAATTCTATATTTTACAGTGACTCAAGACGGTAAAGTCTATGCGTGTGGTGAAGCTACCAATGGTCGTCTGGGATTAGGTACTAACAATGGTAATGTGTCGGTACCACGACCTCTCAACTGTCTCAGTCAGTATGTTGTTAAAAAAGTGGCGGTACATTCAGGTATGTTATGACTTAGGCCTGCTTCTTATTTTGGCACGCTTGATGCATCCTAAATCCTGTAACAACTTGTTTTATTGAAGTTACTGTTGATTCCAAGAATCCTGAACCAGTAATCGAAGATCATCCATGAATTGTTCCTAACTTTAAGAGGATTTGAACCTATAATATCTGTTCCCCTAACAGACGTTGCTACAGTATATCTACTCCACTGCGTTTTAAGGGTGTAAAACTGTGCATTATACACACAAATATACGGTATATGATTGTATGTTGACAGGAGGACGACATGCCATGGCCCTCACTGTAGATGGTAAAGTTTTCTCTTGGGGTGAAGGAGATGATGGTAAACTAGGTCATTCTAGTCGCATGTAAGTTTGATACTTTCATTGTTTAATTAAGCTCTGTTATCATGCCTTGTTTGAATGTTTTGTGTCTGAGCCCAGAATCACTTTTAGCGAGTCTACATAGCTTATAATGTTTATTTGATATATAGATTTGTCAAATCGGCATCCCTTTCAGAGAGTCCACATAGCTAATAATGTTTACTTGGTATCTATAATTCCCCTGATGTAAACTTGTGGTAGTATTTTTTGTCTGACTGAGATCAAGATGGCAGTAAAAACTTTTTTTTTTTTTTTTTTCCAGGACATGTGATACACCACGACTAATTGAAGCGTTGAAATCTAAACGTGTACGAGACATATCGTGTGGTAGTAGCCACAGTGCTGCCATCATATCAAACGGTGACCTGTATACCTGGGGCCTTGGTGACTATGGTAGACTGGGTCATGGTGATAACACCACACAGCTTAAACCAAAACAGGTAGGATGGGATGGGATGGGATGGGATGGGAAGGGAGGTGGGATCGGATAGAATGGAATGGGATGGAGGGAAGGATGGGATGAATAATGAGAGAGGGAAGATGGGATGGGAGGAAGGAAGAAAGGAGTGGATGTGGGTGGAGGGTGAGGGTGAGGGTTGGATTGGGTTTGATTAATGGTCAAAGCTTACTCACTAGAAATTGCTTTATTTCGGGATAAGTGTTCTTTTCTTTAAGTATAATAATGTATTCTGTCATCGCTTAAAGTAAAACCTCTGTATGGTTTGCTGTATTTGTTTTAAGGATGGTCTGGTATTTTATAATAATATTCTGCCATTTCAGGTGAAAGCTCTGTCAGGACAGAGAGTCATACAAGTTGCATGTGGAAGTAGGGACGCCCAGACTCTGGCCCTAACTGATGATGGGAACGTCTATTCCTGGGGTGATGGTGATTTTGGAAAGCTGGGACGAGGAGGTAGTGATGGATGTAACGTGCCCCATGTGATAGACAGGCTGACTGGGATGGGAGTTTGTCAGATTGAATGTGGTGCTCAGTTTTCTCTAGCTCTTACTAAATCTGGACAAGTTTGGACATGGTGAGTCTACAATCAAATATTAATTACACATTTGAGGATCTTTTTAATCGAACATACCAATTACAAACTGAACCAAAACATTTTTGTGCCATTGGACCAAACGTGTGAACATAATGGAATTTTGAACCTTTTAATGACCTCATCTGCCATTTCTCCGAGTTCATAACATAAAAGAATAGGGTTAAATTCTGTCTAAATTACAATCTTGATTTATATTTCAGGGGAAAAGGAGATTATTTCCGATTAGGACATGGAACAGATGCTCACGTTCGGAAACCACAGTTAGTGGAAGGGTTAAAAGGGAAGAAAATAGTACATGTGTCTGTTGGAGCATTACATTGTCTGGCTGTTACAGAGGCTGGACAGGTTGGTGGTGATACAAATTTTGTTTTTTTTTTGAATATTTTGTTTCTTTTTGTGTTGTTTCTGTGGGTGACTCCACATTCCATTCATGATCTGATGTAATTGATATACATCTCTTGCTCTGTGTCATTTGATATTCAACCAATGAAATGCTTTGTAAGGGAAGAAATCCCAAGGTAAAAACTGCAATCAATAAATCAAATGTCATTCAGAGATTTTTGAATTTCAAGGGTAAGAAGGTGCGAACTTTATTCGCAATTATACAGTATATATAGTTATGAATACCTTTACTTATTTTGTTCAGGTGTATGCCTGGGGTGATAATGATCACGGACAGCAAGGCAACTCAACAACTACAGTCAACAGAAAGGCTGCGTTAGTTCATGGATTAGAAGGCTATAAAATAACACGAGTGGCATGTGGATCAAGTCACAGTGTAGCCTGGGCAACAACAGATCTTTCAGCACCGACATCACACGAACCTGTTCTCTTCTCCACCTCTAAAGATCCTCTGGGTTCTTCTCTTGTTGGTATGTAAAATTTTACATGTAGGTCTAAGTGCATTCACTTATACCTTGACTGCAATAGCCGCTATTCTATTCAGATTTGAGATCATGCCGAACAGCCAATCAGAGTCCTCAACATAAGGTCATAAACATGTTTGTATTTTATTATAGCATTAAATGAAGGAACTATAGATGAAACTGCAATTCCATCACCACAGTCCAACCAGAATAAAAATGGCCGACCATCGCTATCTAAAATAATACTATCATTAGAATCTGATCAGGAGAAACAGAAAGCGTTAACTCATGTTCTTACAGCTTTACAGATTATATTTGCCAGGTTAGTTATTTTACAGCCATATTATGATGCTGACATATTGTGGTCACCTCTGTCCGTCTGTTGCTTTACATTTGTTAGTGAACACAATGCAGACTACAATTGCCTTACTTATTATAAATATGTATTTTGCTGGTAACTCGCACGAGTTTGATATTTATGAATTTTTGATAGACATTTTTTGAGTTACTGTCCTTGGAATCAGACTAATAGAATGTAAAACTCCACTCATTTCGTAACTGTTTTTGTTTACAGAGATGCTGTAGTGGGAGCATTAAAACTAGAAACACAAACAGTAGGTGATACCAAGCTAAACCCCAGTATGTTAGTCAGTTTTAATGGTCAGTCTGAATCCAGTACACTAGCCTTGGTCAAATCAGATGTCATTGATCATAGTGATATGGGTGTTTCAATGGTTGACTCTCTTGATACAGTAAGTTGGGGTTTATATTGGCTTATTGTTATTCTTAAAGGTCAAGTTTCACACATAAAACATAAGCAAAAGTTACATATTATGAGAACTTTTGTGGAACTGAATCAGATTTTTTTGTTACTTTTGCTAGACACACAATCATGAAAGAGCTACTACTCCACCATGTTTTTTATGGACACCCATATATAAAGAAGGGAACATTCTTAAAAACTTTTGGTTGCTCCATAAATTATGGTATGGACTAATGATTATAAAAAATATTTGCAGGTTCCTCAAATAGAACTCCCAGCATTCCCCAGTATGCATAGTCTAGCTGCTAAAGTTTCCCCGGCAACTAGTATCATAGTGGAGACCTTTACATCAACAGAAGAAGTGACACGCCCTGCTGATAATCAACTAGCTAGTTATCCCCCCTGTTTAGACGAGTTTACAAGTAAGATAACGACTGAAGATGCCAGGGTGTTGGTGGATCTGCTGAAACTTGCTGTAGCTACTAGAGTAGGAGAGAAAGGGAAGGAAACGCTATCTGAACAACTCAATAGTCTTGGGAAATCTACAGCAATGGTAAGTTTTGTATTGGTATTAGGGGGTGAGAGCTGACACCAGACCTAATTGGCTTGCAGACGACGTTTGATTTCATATTGTTTAAATCAAGACCTTTTACTGTCAAACGATTTGTATGCATTTGTTCAAAGTGTAGAAGGATTTTAAGTTCAATTTTATTATGATTCAGGTGGCTGAAATGTTACTAGAGCTATGTGTAACAGAATTAGAAGATGTTGCTACGGATACAGAATCCGGTCGTCAGGCAGCTCAGCCAGTAGTTCAAGAATCACCCCACCCCTATACAGATGACACGTCACTGACTGGTCACGTTAAAATACCAGGGGCTGAATCTTTACGTGTAGAATTCGATAGACGATGTTCAACAGAACGCAGACATGATCCATTATCTATACAAGATGGAACTGGAAGGACAGTAGCCATTAGATCTGGTAAGATGGCTGGGAAGGGATCGAAAAAATTGTTTGTGTATCAAACCCATTTAGGCCTTCTATGTGCATCATTACGATTTTTTCAATGTCCTTCATGGACGTGTAGCTCAGTTTTTCTGAAACCAATTTATATATATATATATATATATACTTCTTCCAATTTAGTAATAGGCCTTATCCAAATATCGAGGACTTCGCTTTGTGGAATATTAAAGCTTATGTCCTTTTCTCTCTTTCCTAGCCTATCCTCATTAGCCTAATCACGTGCAGACGTAAAGCTCCATTTCATTTCTTTGCCCAATCAGTTGCATATCAGTAGGATGTAAAATTCCAAATTTGATTTGCTCAATCAGGTGCAGAAAAGAAGGATATAAAACTCCATTTTCTGTCCTTTTTAGGTCGTGAGTGGTCTGATTGGTCACAAGAATTAAGAATCCAAGGACAGGAACTACGTTGGAAGTTTACAAGTGATGGGTCGGTGAATGGGTGGGGCTGGTTATTAACGGTGTACCCTGTAATGCCAGCAGCCGCTCCATTAGACCTGCTGTCAGATCGTACCATCCTCTCCAGACCTTCCATTAACCTGGTCACCTGTCTGCTGGATCTCAAACTGGATCTTCCCATGGACAGAAACATTGTTCCTCGACTGGCTGCAGCTTTGGCTGCTTGTGCTCAGCTTAGTTCTTTAGGTGAGTTCTTTTTATTTCTATTCTTTATAATGATTCTGTAAATGCTTTCCACATCAGAAAACAGATCCAAAGATAACTATTGATAGTATCTTTGCATTTATGTTGTCTGAAATATAGGATGTAAATAGCTCAGAAGCTGACAGATCTGTGTCAAACAGGTCTTGTTATTCTATTATCATTAATTTGCTCTGCAGAATTTTATGGGCTTTATATATAGGAAGAACAATGTTTTGATATTACCTTTATGATGGTTGGTTGGTAGACAAGATAACAAAAGCATACATTCAGATACTGATATCGCAAACTAGGTAGTTGTTGGTAGCATTTGACTGAACTTTGTAGACTTTTTATATAGTTAGAATGATGTTATGTTATAGTCTTATCGTTCTATTTTCAGGTGCCAATCAAAGAATGTGGGCGTTACGTAAACTTCGTAAATTAATGGCGTGTAACATGGCGTCTGTATTAAATATACAGATGTTGATGGCCAGTCCACCTGAGAGCCCAGATCAAGATGTACCCAGATTTCCAGTGGTGAGTGTTTCTGATTTTATAATAACTATAATTTTAATACAATGATGAAAAGGTTACATTGAACCAATTCCACTGAAACAAAGTGTTTGATGACTTCACTAATCAAAAAATATGCTTGTATGACTTATGGTCCTTTGCGATTAATGACGTCATCAAACACTTAGTTTTAGTGGAATTCAAGAACCACAGACATCTGATTGAAAATTGGAATGGTGCAAATTGATACTATCAGTGTCCCCTAAAAAAATAAAAAAATTTAAAAAACCTGTTTACTATCTCTTTAAGTTATATTTCTAATGCTTCTTATCTGTCATGTCTGTTATTAAGTATGTCATATTAATCTAATTAAGCATTGTATTAATATTAAAATCTTTATATTACAGGCATTAAGTGGAACAGCTCTAGCTTCGTTAGTGAAAGGTTTACCTGAAGCCCTACAGAGACAGTTTGATTATGAAGATCCTCTAGTACGTAGTGGCAAACATCTCATGCATAGTCCATTCTTTAAGGTCAGTAAATAATTTTTATACATTTTGTCCTAATAGCACCAAATCCTTTCTATTTTTCAAAGATTTCTTGATGCTCTCAGACACTCTGTAGGGAGGCTTGCGCATAGAACTGCTGAACCTCAACCTTGACAGATGTTTCCCCTTTACAACAACCTATCTTTTACTTCTAGGTATTAGTCGCGCTGGCCTGTGATCTACATTTAGACACTCTACAATGTTGTGCCGAGGCTCATAAATGGGTGTGGTTTAGACGATACTGTATGGCAGCAAGAGTGGCCAATGCCATTGTGAATCGTCTCCCCTTACCACAAGTTTTCTGTGATGAAGTTTTAAAGAAGATACAAGATATCGCTGCTGAAGGAGAAGAAGAAAGTCACGAACACAAAGATCAGATGGTATTTAAATTAGGTCAAGATGAGCAACTCTTACAATGGCTTAACAGGTTCGTTACTTTCTGCTCCGTTCACAATATCAAAGTGTGATGCTAAATAGTTCGAATAGACTATGATCAGTGTCTATGAACCAACGACGGCAAAGTGAAACCCGACATAAAAAAAAAGAATTGGTAGTAGCTAATAAACTGTTGAATTACCACTTTGCTATCATTTTTTTTTTGTCAAAAATTCCATAAAAATTCCCTTCTCAGACATCAGGAAATATTTTTGAAAACTCTTAGAGACAGGACTGTATGATTGGATTAGCTTAATTTTTAACTTGTAATTTTTTCTAATTTGAACTTGACCTTTTCCAGGAGACCCCAAGATTGGACATTATCATGGGGAGGAAGTGGTCAGATCTGGGTGTGGGGACACAATCATCGTGGACAGCTGGGTGGAGTAGAAGGGGCGAAGGTAAAGTTACCAATAAGCTGTGAATCTCTGGCCTCATTACGTCCAATACAACTGATTGGTGGAGAACAGACATTATTTGCTGTTACTGCTGATGGAAAGGTATGTAGATCGATTGGATTTTTTCTTTGTTTTTCTGTTTGACTCTGTTCGAAGTCTATGTACCATATAAATGTCATTAACTATGTGAACTCTCTGAAAGAAATGTTTAAACCTAGATACCAAATAGTATTATTTACTGCATGTGGACACTCAGAAAAAGATGGTAATTTGTCAAAACATAATTCGAAGAAACATTATCTGCTATGTGAACGCTCTGAACGAAATGCTGACGTGGTAAGCCCAGTCGTAGAGTGGCGCCATGTGTCCAGGACGAGTTAATATGCCTTTCTAGCCCAACTACATTCAGTAAGTCATCTGTATTGGCTATATAAGCACCTGTAGTTTTTTAGGATGTCAATTAATCTTTTGGAAAGAAAGGTAGAAGTAAAACTCTATTTATTTTTCAGGTATATGCTACAGGGTATGGTGCTGGTGGAAGATTAGGTATTGGAGGAAACGATTCCATCTCAACTCCAACTCTCCTGGAATCCATCCAACATGTCTTCATCAAGAAAGTAGCTGTTAATTCCGGTGGAAAACACTGTCTAGCTCTATCAGCTGAGGGTGAGGTGTATTCCTGGGGAGAGGGGGAGGATGGAAAACTCGGACATGGTAACAGAAGGTAAGGTTGCTTCCTCCTGTTGGTGTCAAAAATCGAGATTTGAAGATAACCCATCCTTATAGATTTTGTCAAATTTTGATATGGCACACCTTTTCAAACATTTTCATTGTCTCCTTAGATATGATTAATTGTTAAGACTAAAGAAGTAATCAAGTCCAAAATATTCTTCCTGAGTTTCTCAATGGCTTGGTAAAGGTTTAATTGGCTAACTGATGAAAAAAATTTGGGCTGATTGCAGACAGTTTTCCTTTAAAGATGGGTTTCCTTATTTTTTAGTGTCAATATAAGCAAACTATTTGATCAATTGGTGTTTCTAATGAATTATCATGTATTCTTAATCATATTTTTATGTTCTTATTGCATATAATTAAGAGTTTTAACCAATCATAAATGTCCATGTTGTTACAGTCTGGATAAACAAAAAAAGACTTTTTGACCTTCTTGATTGGTCACTCATTGGAATTCTGCTGATAATTCTCTTCTAATTTAGCTAATTATGAATTAATTATGGACATGTGAGACAAACTGGTATTTTTCAAAGTCATTACAACACCTCTACTTTCTATTGGTATAAGTATTAGCATAAAAATTAGGGAACCCATCTTTAAATATCATAAAATGTATCTCTCCAGTTTATATTGCAGCCCGTGTGATAGACCAAGAGTTATAGAATCTTTACGAGGTAAAGAAGTTGTTGATATTGCTGCTGGTGGGGCTCACAGTGCCTGTATAACATCTAATGGAGAACTCTACTCCTGGGGTAAAGGTCGCTATGGAAGACTGGGACATGGAGAGAGTGAGGATCAAGCACGTCCAAAATTGGTAAGTACATGTGACATATGTCATAGGATTATCAGAACTTTTCGTAAAACAAATTCTTTAAATCTAATGATTGTTTTCTTTCTTCCAAATTTCTCTACCAATATATTTGTCTTTGAGTAATGCCTGTCAGATTGACATGGCTCAAAACACTAGTGCCGATTTCCTGAAAAAAATGTCCTCATTACCCACTGCATGGTGACCTTATTCCATATTCATTGGTCATTCAGTTGTGATGGCTAGACTCTCTGTCAACAGTAAACATGATTGATATATAATTGTATATTGTATATATCAGGTTGAAGCATTAAAAGGATATAGAGTTACTGATGTAGCTTGTGGTAGTGGTGATGCTCAGACTCTCTGTATCACAGACGATGATTCTGTTTGGTCCTGGGGTGATGGAGACTATGGTAAATTAGGTGAGTACATGCTCGATACCATCTGGTACCATTGTTATATGGGTATGGTGTTGCTAGAGATGCATAGTATTTTCACCTTTTTGAAAATTTTGGATCAATTCGATATATAATGTACATAGACAAGTCAGAAGCACGAATAGACCTCTAGTCTAGTACGACTCTACACTGGAAAATTCCCCCATTTCCCAAACAAGCTGTCATGGTGACTATTTTAAATTTGAAAAGCATTAGGAAAGTAAGAGACAAGCTATAGTCTATTGAGACAAAGTACATCCCCACACTGGAAAGTAATACCATTTCCAAAACTACCTGTCATGGTGCCTATTTTAAATTTGAAAAGCATTAAGAAAGTATGAGACGAGCTATAGTCTATTTATTTTAATCACCAGGTCGTGGAGGTAGTGATGGATGTAAGATACCAGTAAAGATAGAATCCTTACAAGATTGGGGTGTCATCAAAGTTGGTTGTGGATCACAATTCTCAGTCGCTTTAAGCAAAACAGGAGCTGTCTACACTTGGTAAGTTTAGGATATTTAACACATTTGGTGGTTTGGATAGGATTTTACCATAATCGTTGATATCACAAAGGATATCTATCCTAGATTCTTTGATTTTAAGATTTTAACAGACTATTGCATCTGATTCTGTATATTTTCAGCTCAAGTATTTTTCATTGATACTTTCTCATTTATACTTGATATATTCCCTCATTATATTCAGTTCAATTCTGCTACCAATGTTTTGACCAAGTTTTATTAGGATTTCTGGTTTTGTTTTTGTGATGCTAATTGTTAGTTCTTGGGATCTGTTTTTTATTGGGATATTTATATTTTTAGGGGAAAAGGAGATTATCATAGACTAGGTCATGGATCTGATGATCATGTCAGACGACCAAGACGTGTGAATGCTCTACAGGGGAAGAAAGTGATAGATATATCTTGTGGATCGTTACATTGTGTAGCCTGTACAGATCAAGGTAAGACCAAATATTCTAAAGACACCAAACCCCAATTTTTAATAATATTTATGATTTCTGATGAAACCGATCCATTAAGATAGGAGGCCTACCGGTAGTTCCTTCAGAATTTCAATGCTGATATTTCTATTTGTCAAGGGTTCAGAGTACAATGACTGGCTTAACAAAATTTTAGCCAGTTATGTGTCTGATAACCAAGCACCTTTTTGTTAGTGAACTCTTCTGTACGTGTACACAGTGTACACATTTCATATTTTATGAGAAAGCTAATGCTTTATTTACCTCATTGCTTACTGCTTGGTGCTGTCCCTCATCAGTCTAATCAATAGCACTAATAGAAAAGTAACGCATGATAGTCTATTTCATGTTATATGTCATTGTATATTTTAGGAGAAGTGTTTACGTGGGGTGATAATGATGAAGGTCAACTAGGAGACGGAACAACTAATGCTATACAGAGACCTAGATTAGTGGCAGCTTTACAAGGTAAGATACCAAACTTCATCCTACGGTCTATCTGGTAAGAGTCAGATTGGCTGTATTTGCGTGTGTGCAATCCAATGAAATTACTGCATTTACAAAGTAAAGTGCCTAATGGAGTCAAGGTGTTGTGGTAATTTTTTTATATTGTGGTTTTCTCCATAAAACCTTGTTAGATTACAAAATGCTGTCTGGTCAGCACTGTTTATTGCTGACTAGTGTTAAAGGGGCTGTCTGGTCAGCACACAGAACATGAGACTTTATCGCTGCTAAGTGTGTGAAGAGCTTATTTGATGCAATATGTTGTATGTTTGATATTTCCAGGCAAGAAGATCAACAGAGTAGCTTGTGGTTCAGCTCACAGTTTAGCGTGGTCGACTCACAAACCAGTCAGCGCTGGTAAACTACCAACAGACATCCCCATGGAATATAATCATTTAAAATCAATATCTATCATTACGTTAAGAAATCGTCTCGTTCTGCTACATCATTTCTCAGACTTGTTCTGTCCATCAATCTCCATGTTTGATTTACAAGACACGGCCCCTGGGGAGGAGGCGAACGATAATGGAAATGGTTTTGATACTCTACGTGGTGTTCTTGTGTCGTCTGCTAAGGTAAGGCTTGAATTATGATGGCTGGTTGATAAACATTGTGGGGGTTTTTGATACATGGACATCATTTGGATATTTAGCTTGGAGCATCAGTAGAAGTATCTGCCTTTCAAGCTTTTGTGTAAACAAATGAAGCCATTTTACATTTTGATATAGCCGTACACTTCATTAAACTTTAATGAAATTGTTTCAAAGGTGCTTGATTTTAATTTTCAGGAAACAGCATTCCGAAAGGTTGTCCAAGCTACAATGGTTAGAGATAAACAACATGGTCCTGTTGTGGAACTCAACAGATTACAGGTAAGGTCAATCTAGGGTCATTGCTATGGGTCAAGGTCATTGTAAGGTTACAGAGCCAGTTTAAGGGTCAAGGCTAGGGTCATAGTTGAAGTTGTGCATATCTATATTCTGTATCAATTGTTACTATATAAACTTGAAAAGGTGAACTTTCATTTTAATCCTCAAGAATGTTTTAAATTAAGAGTTCTGAGAATATTGTTTAATGAATAGAATTATTCATTGTAGGTTAAAAGATCGAAGAATAAAGGAGGATTTGCTGGACCTGATGGAATTAAATCTGTGTTTGGTCAAATGGCTCAGAAAATGTCTGTATTTGGTCCTGAAAGTTTGATGTTACCTCATAGAGTCTGGAAGGTGAAATTTGTTGGTAAGTTAAGAAGTTAAAACTATGTGTTTTATGACGCCACTATCTCAAAGTTCCTTATATATCAATAACAGCTTTTGAAAGAATGGCGTCAGAAAATGCTGATTTGAAGTAAATTTGCAGGAACTACGGACATCTGACTGAAAATTGGAATGGTGCAAATTGATGATATCAGTGTCCAAATACACATATAAAGTTAAGAAAATCTCTTTACAATACCTTTAAGGTTTGAATCCCCTTCAGACTGTCCACATAGCTAATAATGTTAATTTGGTATTCTCTATTTTAGGTGAAAGTGTCGATGATTGTGGTGGAGGTTATAGTGAATCTATCGCTGAGATTTGTGACGAGTTACAAAATGGTTGTCTACCTTTACTGATAGTAACACCAAACGGTCGTGATGAATCAGGTTTCAATAGAGATTGCTTCATCCTTAATCCTCTCCTTAGCTCACAACTACATCAAAATATGTTCAGATTTTTAGGTAAGTTAACTTTTGGCTCTTATTGCATTTGAATTTTTATTTTGGACGTAAAACTCCATTCATTTTAAACAGATCTCTTTAGATTTGAAAGCCTAAAACTTACATGAGTAGAAATATAATAATTGATAAATGCAGTCCTTGCTGCTTTGCAAAGCAGAATTGTTTCAATATGTAATGTGTATCCCCTACTGGGTTTTCAGTGTTTAATATGATAGCAAATACAGTTCATGGTTCATCATATTAGATATGGTTAACAATATGAACTGGTTTCTTGGTTTAATGCTCAGATTTTTTCAATATTACTGCCTGGTTTATAGTGATCTTTCAGTATTCACTGCTAATGGTGCTCTTTTGCTATTTTGCTCCCAATTCCTACTCAACGATCTATGCTTTAACATTGTAGGTATATTAATTGGTATAGCTATTAGAAGTGGTAGTCCTCTTAGTTTAAATATAGCTGAATCAGTGTGGAAACAACTGGCCAGTATGCCATTAAATATCTCTGATTTAACAGAGCTAGATAAAGATTTCTTACCAGGTAATAAACAGTATAATCCTGAATACAGGACGCATCCTTGTATCAATATTTAAACTGTCTATTTCTATATATGGCAAGCTTAAGAAAATACAACTCTTCATGTGAGCTGTGAACACTATTGCTGATTGGCTTAACTAAAAAATTCCTATTTCCAAGACTAAGGTACTCTTGGTCAAACGAGTGGGGAATGTGTCTCTTTAATGTGTATCACCTTTGCACTGCATATAAAATGTAATGATGTTATATTGCAGGATTAATCTGTATCAAAGGAATGGATGATGAGAGTTTAAAGGCAGCTGATATGCCATTCAGTATTCCCAGTGCTTCTAGTCAGGAGGTTCATCTCAGTTCTAAATATTCCCGTATTACTCCAGAGAACAAGTCAGAATATATCAAATTAGCCATGAATTATAGGTCAGTAAGAAGTTAAGATAATCTCTCTTGTGACACGGAGCATATTAAGAAGCTGGCAAAGAAAGTCTGGTATAGCACTGAATTAAAGAATTTATAGATTTAATATTTAATATGAGTTATTGCCCATGTTCTGGCAAGTGTATTTACTTTTTAGCTGGTAAATAACCTAGAAGGCTGAATTCTTGCCAGATTTGACAAAACTTGGTAATATTGTTCATTTTCACCCAAGTGTAAGACTGGTGATTGTTACTGTGCCAAATATTTGTATCTACAATGAGAGCTATCAAATACCGTTGTACAAAGTCTATTAGTATAAGCAAAATCTTAGAACAAGAGAAAGGAATCTACTGATGTATAAATAATGTTATTGTTATATTAATTATTACAGACTACATGAATTTGATGATCAGATAAAATGGGTGAGAGAAGGAATGTCAAAAGTTGTACCAGTTCCATTATTATCTTTATTTACTGGATTTGAACTGGAAACTATGGTAAAGAAGCTATTCTCTTTTAATATTGGGAGATCACAGTGCTTGAGCAAACTACAGATGTGTTAACTAGCCTTCATATCTATTATTGGATACCAGCACAAGTTGTTTTTTCTGTTTCCTGTTTTTGTTCCGTGCTGCATCAGTCCAGGAATTCATGTTGCACTCTCAGAAAGGCATTTTGATTCAATTTACCGGTATCAATGTTGTTGTTCTGGTGTCCATTGTTTGTATATGTTGAGAACCCATGATCAAATAAACGTTAAGGTATTCAGGCGGGTAAGAGCTCTCCTTGAGTACACTGTAAGACTTTATCATCTACCAAACCAACAGTACAGAATCATGCAATTCAACCAATCCAACTACTACGACTACCAACTACTACGACTACCAACAACTACCTAGTTTGCGATATCAGCATCTGCTGGAATCAAACGTTAACATGTCATCTACCTACTTACCTTAACTTTTTATAATCTTACCATTGGATTTTATTTCATAAAGTAATGAACATGTCTATTCCTCTAGGTTTGTGGCAGTCCAGATATACCACTGACTCTATTAAAAGCTGTAGCTACGTATAAAGGTATTGAATCCACCTCATCATTAATACAATGGTTCTGGGAGACCATGGAAGATTTCACCAATAATGAACGCTCGTTATTTTTACGATTTGTCTGGGGTCGTACCAGGTTACCTAGAACTATAGCTGATTTTAGAGGCAGAGATTTTGTACTCCAGGTAAATATTGATTATTGATCGTGTAATATAATAGATTGAATGATAGAAGGTTAAAAATAAAAAATTCAATTAAAGATGGGTTCCCTTATTTTCATTTATAAAAATGAAAATGTTAATATTTATATAAATAGAAAGTAGAGGTGTTCTTATGAATTGGAAAAATACCAGTTTGTCTCACATGTCCATAATTAATTCATAATTAGCTAAAGTAGAAGAGAATTACCAACAGAATTCCAATGAGTGACCGATCAAGAAAGGTCAAAAAGTCGTTTTTGTTTAACCAGACTGTACATACATGAGCATTTATGATTGGTTAAAACTCTTAATTATATGCAATAAGAACATAGTGATATGATTAAGATTACATGGTAATTCATTAGAAACACCAATTTGTCAAATAGTTTGCTTGATTTGAACATTTGAACCATTTAAGACAATGCTTACTCTTACTGAGATTTTGATTAAAGAAATTGTCTTGATTTTTGTTGTAAATTTTATTTTCAGGTTCTGGATAAATATAATCCACCAGACCATTTCCTACCAGAAAGTTATACTTGTTTCTTTTTATTAAAAATGCCAAGATATTCCTGTAAGTCTGTGTTACGTGAGAAACTGAAATATGCCATCCATTTCTGTAAGTCGATAGATACAGATGATTACGCGAGAGTGGCATTAACCGGTGAAACCATGGACGAAGACACGCCAGATGGCAACGAAGATACAGATGATATGGAATGTATGGATTCTGAGGGTGAAATCGTGGATTCTGATACGAGTTAAATTGCAAGATATATGTTTTTAATCGGAAGGAGACCATCAAATGAGATTTGAATGACATATTTGTCAAATATCTGTTAATTCTAATTCGAGATCAACCAAATATATATTAAATTTCAAGGGAAGAAAATGTCAACTTTTATACTTGTACATATTTCAATTCTCAATGACATCTTTTAAAAGACTTTATTTTTAAAAAGGTTTAGATATCATGACGTCAAAATAACATACAAGAGAACCACGAATCATAAATCAGCTGATCAAGAGAATATTTAGACGAATTTATCCCTTATGAAAGTAACTAGTATTAATTCTCAATAGTGGCATCAAATGTCCGAGGTGAGATAATACAATGGTTGTGGCTATTCGCACCGTGATGATACAACATCATACCATCTCTATCCCGAAACCTAGAAAAGTCACTTTAAAGCATTCTTGACAATCAAAATGGCTTCACGCCCGAGAAAAAATCCATTGCCCATGTACAACTCGAATGAAGCTTCTCATTGGCTGCTAACAACGGTGCAGAAGAGGTGGAAAACAAATACAATATGAGTTGTGACAGTTTTTATTTATCTTATGAAAAATACCTGATAGCACTCTAAGACTTGGATTGTCAACTCTCCATCCCTTTCTCAGAGAGTCTCACTGGAGCTAATAAAGCTAATCTTCAACAATACCTGTGCACATTTATTAGTTTTTAACCATTAAATCATGAAAAACAAATGAACCATTTTCCTAATAAATCTATATTTCTAATATATTTTTTGGGGGTAAATATCCCTTTAATTTTCGAATTTCTGACATCAATTTTTTCATAATTCATCATTTGATCTCAAAACATTAACCAATGAGAGAGTCAACTCCATATTTACAAGTTTTGTTTTTATTGTATATTTAGTTAAACAATGGGATTGTTGAATATATTGATATGACTTCACCTTAAACTAAGTAAACCAACATTGAAATGATCAGTTGAATATTTTTTTGGGTTTGTTTGGTTTTTTTATGTATTACTTTATATCTGCCAGCTTTTTTAAAATTGTATTCCATTAAAGTGACAGGTAGGCCATTTGTTTTTGACCAATCATACTTTACTCTCAGAAACTGGGATTTTTAAGCTAAGCTAATCATTAATAGTGTTCACAGCTCACTGTTGAAATTTGAGCCTTCAAATCCAGGTGTGTCCAGAATTATCTGGGTTTGAATGTCAATTTAAGATACTCTGTGTTATAGAAAAGATATATATAGAAATAGTGAGTAAAATTCCTAGTTTAAGGTATTTTTAAAGGAATTATGTGATTTTCATACATTTCAAGTTCTTCTGAAGACTATTTACATATATTACAGAATCTAATCAACTCCCAAAAAATGGCGCATCTGTCCCTTTAAAATGCACAAATCATGTTTACTGTATTTTGGACAGTGAAATAAAAGGACTGATATTTGTATTATATTGTTAAACAAACAAGTTATTTACTTATGACTGAAACTTACTGACTCTTGTCTAGCATATTATTGCTATTTGATGTATGTCATTCAGTGTAGAGTTTTAAAAAAAAACAAGACCTTGTTCAATATCTATCAAAATCTAAATGAAAATAAGTTAGTAAGTTTTTTGGTGTAGCTTATTGCTTTTATTTACAAAAACATGGTGGCAATTTTAGTTTTAATATTTTTGTGATGGATTTTGGACTGTCATGCTTCTACCTTATTATTGCTTATATCTGAAAATTTCATCATTTCAATCATCAAATGTCAATATTAGAATGGTCTCATTGACCCAGAAACACAATTTTATATAGTTTAATATAAAATGTTTTGAAGGGGGCTGTTTCTGAAATGCACAAAAATAATTTATAATTGTGTGACTTATTTTTTGTATTTTGACCATGCTGGGCCACTGTTCAAGAAAAAAAAATAGTGGAATTGAGAAAAAACCATACTTATGACTTGATCGATCAGAGATTTCTTGTTAAAAGGAGCTCTGATGATTATTAGATGTACACTGAATGTACAGTTATATCTGATAGATAATATTCCATATCATATCATTATATAACACTGTTAATATTCATATCACACTGTATATATCTCATTTTATTTTATTTTCTCTCATATTCACAGTTCTAGTTTAAGAAAACTTTTGACTTAAATCTAACTGACATGTTATTCCATATATTGTATAATTGCGAGTATAATGCGCATGACTTCTTACTTCTTTAAGACGTTGCTTAACTGACGGTTATCCCATATACTGTATAATGCGCATATAATTACCTTCTTACCCTTGAGTAAATCTGAAAAAATGTATATTACTATAAATGATAATTACCGTATAATTTCGAATACAATGCGCATCTCATACCCTCGAAGAATCTTCATCAAACCTAATTGACTGGAGCACATACCATGCTGCTGGCACATGTTTCTGATATACAATCATCATCAGCACACCTGGATAAGAAGTGGGGATGAAATTCCAATATTTTGAAATTCTAAATGAAGTTGAGAAACTAAAACTATGAATACGAGATGAACTGTAAGAAATATTGTTATTGCTTTATTTTGTTGTCGTGGGAAACTAATTTCACCAGTCGAATAGACATAATATACTGAATAAAAATATTCATAAATATACCATTTTATGTTTACACCCTCTAGGATGACTAACTCCCATTTCTTTACCCAAATCTCTCTTAGTCAATTATCTAGCCGGGGATTATCTGGGGATTATAGGCATATTTGACCTTCAGTTTGTGCAAATTCAAGATTTCTTTGTTGATAGGTATTTCCTAGGTGACGTTGTCCGTCTTCTCTGTCGAAGGTCGTAATCCTGTTTCCTCCTGTCAATGTTCATAAAGGCCGAAACGAAGACACTTAACTTAGCCCCCATGTTCTACAGATTGTTTACATTAAAGATATCTTAACTGTTAAGATTCAATAGGGAATGGTTACCCAGTCAGTAATGTAGATCAGAAGGACTAACGTCTCCTCGTTCGGGTGCTACAGGCTGTCAGTCTGAAGACCCATCATTGACAATAATAAAGATTGTAAATTGGCACATCGAAAAGAAAGTTGATCCAAAAACGCAGACAGTCCACCTTTAAACTTTTTAATTTAATTTGACAGTTTCCTCGTTATTTATGAGAGGAATTTTCTGAGTGAAGAGTTATTTAACCATTTAATAGGTCAGTTATACAAGACTTCATCACCATGGTTATAATACATTGTCTTTCTCTTCTGTATTTTCTATTATTATTTCACATAGTTGACTGTTCAGGTAAGATGATTAGCTTACTCTTCTATGGCACCACAGTGTGTAAGGACGTAAAACTATTGTTTTTAATGACATGGAAAGAAGAAGCACACGAACTTCAAACAACGAGAGAAGTACCGGTCTTCAAAAGTCAAGATTTTACGTAATTATAGGTTCGTAATTGCTTGGTATTGTGAAGATAGATATAGACGAGAAGGTTCATCTAGAAACCTGATCACCCATCTGAACGTTTCGAGAGCATCACCAACCTGTATAATCCAATATTTTATTATAACTTCCAGCAAAATGTGATTTCGAGGTTGATTTCTGTACGTGGGAGAATGTCAAGGCGGAGGATGAATTCGACTGGATCAGAAGATCTGGAAACACTCCAACAAAAGGAACTGGACCTAGGAATGATTTCGTTACCAAACACTATGGTAAGCAACCCTATTTATTAGCCTGACAATTCTGGCCCTACTCGTCTTGATTGCATCTTGACCCCCTAACATGACTAGGTAGTGCTCTCTAAAATCCACAAAGGCACGTTGAAAAGTTCATTATCTGCTACCAATGTTTCGCAAAAATACTGTTTTGGATTTCGGCTTTGTTTTGCGGTTCGGATCGTTAGTACCTGGTTTAGTTATTAGTAATCGTGGAAGTTGGTAGTACGATCAAGATCAATTATATGGTTCAATACTGTTGGTTTGGTAGTTGAGAATGTGTTTCTGTCTTCAGGTACCTATATTTACACGGAATCATCCCGACCAAGAGCAGCCGGTGACAGAGCCAAGTTAAAGAGTAAGCTACAGACCAGTCTCAATGGTAACACGTGTTTCGGGTTTTATTATTATATGTTCGGTAAAGATATGGGCAGTCTGTCGGTATATGTGGTGACGGAGACTAATGAACGGTACAATTTGTGGAAGTTGGAGGACGAACAGGGTGATCAGTGGTTCCACGCCCAGCTAGTCATCCCCGTACAAATCAATACTAAATATAATGTAAGTATATTGGATGGGAGGGGCTAGGAAGGGGAGAGGGGTTGGTGTTTAGAGTTTGGGGAGGGGAAAGGGCCCGAGAGGGAGGTCTGTAAGGTGAGAGTGATCAACGTGACGCAGAGGACGTACATATTTTGGGTGTAGAGCGAAGGTCAATAGGTTAAGAGAGAGCTTATGAGTTTTGATGTCGGCGAAAGCAAGAGTCAGCACAACAGGAGTGACAACCCACGGAGAACATGCTACACCACCCCTATCACACCACAGAAAACTGCCATCGAGCCAAGCACAGCTCTGCTTGCCAATTGGTCACAATCATACGAGATATCGTCTTCAACAAGTCAGCAGATTGTGACTGTACTGGGGACATTGACAGTATTCTGTTGTCAGATTGGAGCACAATGATAGGGTATATATACGATTCCCACCGGTACCCTTATACTATATAACAGTAAATGTTATCTGTGAATGATTCGATGCTTCTTCACAATGTCAAGCTATTACGAACTCTAGTTAGACGGAATTCGTAATAACTTGACATTATGTAGGTGTGACAGGTATCTGTCATTTTATATATCCTAGATCTATGTAGATGCTGTTAGAGGTAAAGATGTTCTGAGTGATATCGCCATAGACAATCTAGAATTAACAGAAGGTATCAAATGTACCACAGAACCTCAGTATGGTAGGTATTTTAACCAGAGCTTTCTTTCTCACCAGATATTGTTAGGCTCGCTAGAAATCCTGCTGATCCTTAGCATGCCTTTGGCAGTTTTGTTGTTTGGCGACCTCTATTCAAGATAGCTATCAAAGCTGCCAGATCGAAGGTGATGTGATACCTTTGAGACTTTCGGCGTATAACACTTCTACGAAAGCTAAAAAGAACAAACCCAATCATACTTCCGACTATACCTTACTAAATTGTAAAAGAACCATACGTTGAAAGATCGTTTTGAAGTGTGATGCAGATAGCTGAAATATTTTTTATGATTTTTCAGCTGCTCTAGACTATGCTATAAGACTGGTAGGAGGAGCTGGTCCCTATGCCGGGAGGCTGGAGATCATGTACAATGGTAGATGGGGAACAGTATGTGACGACGGCTGGGATGAAAACTCGGCTAGAGTTGTATGTAGAGAATTGGGATTCGATGTGTAAGTTGATTGGCAGTTTTTTTAAGAAATCCAACTCTTGAAGGAGGATTCATGAATAGCCTGTAACACATTGGGTTGTAATGCTCTACAAACTTGATTCCGCGTCTACTGCAGGATTTAAGCAGGAAAGTCCTGGAATATCTTCCAGAGCACCATCTTCACTTTGTCAAATTCCGTCTTATTATACTGGTACTCGGACTTCTGTTGACAACAAGCAGAGATCTTTATGTTCACCAATAATGTCTGGGCTAATTTTTCAACCTCTTCCGTAATAGAGTAGTTATTATCATGATTTTTGTTGCTGTTATTTGTTTTTGTTTGTTGTTGGTAACAAAAGTGACTCTTTATTTTCTATCCAGTTCTGGCAAGAGTGACATCAAACCAAAATCTCTCCCAGAAGCAGCTTATGGTGAAGGCTCGGGAAAGATTCTACTGGACGAGTTTAGATGTAACGGATCTGAGATCTCGTATCTGTACTGCGCTCACTCTGATTTTGGGGTTCACAACTGTAAACACAATGAAGATGTATCTGTTATTTGTGAGGGTAAGGTTGCGAATCTTTGTTGCTTAATCAACGTGGCTTTAAAGGGTAATGGGGGTTGGGTGTTGTTGCTTCAGGTGGACCGACAGCAACTGGTGTCATCTAAGAGATATTGCCAATCTCTGGATTTAGTAGACCTGACATGACTGCACCGATGACTGATAAAATCTCAAATGCCTCCAGTTGCCACCTTGTTTCCAGCAGTTACCCCTAGTTGTAACCAGTTACCGGCAACTAGTTGCCACTGATACAAGTTGTATTTGGTTGTCGACTTGACAATCGAAATCAACAACTATGCCATTTATCTCAGTTGTTAATGGTCGGTTGATTTGTCAGCTGGGATGAGATGCTAGTAATTCATTCATTCATTCATTCCTACTTTATTTCTTCATTCCAGAAAAGGATGTCAAAATCAGTATCAATCCGGCATCAGCTGGTCCATTCTATGAAGGTGAAGACGCTACAGTTATAAGTTGTAGTAACGACTGCTCACCGCCTTGTGAGAATGTATGGTATGAGAGTTCGAATCCTAGTGAAATCCTGTCCTATATAGACGTACTGGAGATATTTAGTATACAGAGGTACCAGGCTGGTAATTTTACCTGCCGTGTCGCCAGAACTACCCAGGATATAGAAATAGATGTTATTTGTAAGTTTAGTTGCTTATTTGGCATACGGATTCGACTTTTTCTTTATTATGAAACGAGAAACATGCCATCTAACTTTTACAGCCTCGGGGAGAATAAATTTTTGTAAAAGAAATATTATTTTATTTATGTTTATGTTATAATTTCTATTGTTGACAGTTATTGCCCTTGTTGCGCAATGTAATTGGGAAATCGCCTCGGGCATCAGAGATACAAGAGAAATACCGAGTAAGCAAACACCAACATGGCTAGTAGAACTGTTATTTTGAAATAACAACAGTGAAAATAAATTAAGATTAATTACATAACGACAAAAAATTAAAATATATTACAGAATGGCGTATAAGCTAAAAAATATTTATATTGTTCCCTTGAATAATAAACCGAGGATCCGTGTGCTACTGTCCTGACTAAATTTCCTTCATTGCACCCTGAATGGCGTTGCACGTCTTCATTAGCCCACATGGTGCAGAAAAGTAGGACGTAAAACTCCATTCATTTCATTTCATTTTTGAATTTTCAGTTGGACCAGACAAAGCAGAAATATCCCCGTCAAATATCAGTAGCGTTGTTCAGAATGGTAACCTAGACCAGGACGTCCTCTGTACAGCTGATTGCTGGCCAGCCTGTACTGCCGAATGGTACCGTGGTGCCATCACCCAAGAGAACATACTACCCAGCATCGATGGAACTCTGAAACTAACCAACCTGATCAAGTCTGACGCTGGGGTGTACATCTGTAAGGTTACTAACACCAAAAATTTCCGTAAATCACAAGCCCAAGGGAATTTTACCCTGGACATTATTTGTAAGTATATCTTTTTCTACTTCCTCTTCTTAGTGAGGTACTCCTGCACTACAGATGAAACAGTGGATATTTGGTATTTGGGTTTTGTCAACTCGGCATCCTTTTCAGAGGGTTGACATAGCTAATAATGTTTATTTGGTATATGGGGTTTGTTCGGAATCCCTATCGGGCATGTTTAAAGGTTATCTGGACATCCCTCTCCAAGAACCCACATCGAGTTAGGAAGTAGGGAGTCCACAACTTGTTGGCATCTATAGATAATGATATAGCAATTAAATTGTAGATGGTCCAGACGTGGTAGTAATCAACCCGCCAGTAGTAGATCCAGTTATTGAGGGAAAGGGTGAGGTTCCTGTCGTCTGCACTGCTGACTGTTTCCCGCCATGTCACATTACGTGGTATAAAGATGATATCCTCGTCAACTCGAACGAGGGTGTTATAGATTTAATGGCTGTTTCGGAGCGAGGTGGCGGTGTCTATGTTTGTCTGGCCACCAATAAACAGACTAATGCCATTTCAAGAAAGTCTATAAAGATCCCAGTAATGTGTAAGTTCAAAGTCCTAAATCCGACTATTCCAGAAAAGATATATAGAGTCTTGTCTATATCTATCTAATTTTGCATAGTAGAAGATCCATTCCCAGTAAAAAGCGGACGGAAATCGATGGTCTGCAACCGGTAAAACGGGGTTCTACTGTACATATAACAATCGTCAGTAAATCATTTAGATTGTTATCGTGTTAAGTTGTCCTAATGACTATTTAGATATAACACGTGCCGACATAGAATGTTTATCTGATTTCCGGACCACAAAGGTTCCATGAAGCTGAGAATAATATAATGCAAAATCCTTATAGTTTTGACAAATATTAAAGTCGAAGTTGTCTCTTTTGCCTCTACGCTTCTTACGGTCCCGTTTTTAAGCTACGACATCGTTTTCACTTTGCTTTTATACAGCATCCCGTATCATTTTAAAGATTACAATCAGACGCGAGGCTCGCCTGCAATCTCTTAAAATGAACTAAACTTTACTGTTTGTTTTTCCAGACGGTCCAAACAACATTACATTCAATATTGGACCGTTACAAGTTGGCCAAGTTTTTCCACCAATAGCCTGTGAGAGTCAGTGTGATCCCGGATGTGACGTAGAATGGTACAAGGACAACACCAAGCTAAACGCAGTAGGTGGCGTGATGAGGTTTGCCCAGATCACCAAACACCACGCTGGTACTTACTATTGTATCGCCGGGAACAAGTACGACAGTAAACATGTCTATCAGAAAGCTTACGTTCAACGCGTCAACGTCTTCGTTGCGTGTAAGTACTCGAATAGAAAAGTACGAATAAAAATCAACCAAGCTGCTTTTTGAGATGGAACATTTAGTATAAGTAGTTTGAGGACAAGGAACTAAATAGTAGATACTTGTTTCGTTATCTCACTATATTGGATGGGTCTTAAGGTTTAGGCCTCGAGAAACTCATTGGTCCGAGAGCCCAGGGCTACTCATATCTCCCCTTTTCCTGTCTATGTTCCAAACAATGTTATGTATTTCAGATGGTCCAGATTTCGTAACGTTCACCCCGCCCGTTGTTCATCCTATCAAAGAAGGAGAAGCGATGTACCGGATTATCTGTTCGGCCGACTGTTTCCCACTGTGTAAAGTCAACTGGTACCGAGGTCCTGCTGTTCAGACCAACGTAATACCGAGTGCTGTTACCGGTGTCCTACAACTGACCAATATTACCAGAAAACATGCCGGAAACTACACCTGTACCATCTTCAACCCAGAAACCAAGAAAATCCTCACAAGAACAGCTAGTATATATGTCTATTGTAAGTTCATCAATTCGTTGAAGACAATGGGCTGTGAATAAGTTGCGTGTCACGAGAGAGGCATTTGACAGCCATGTGTCCCCTACTCACCTCATGGTTCATAGAAACGCAACTGTTAAAATATCCCCCGATACCCAAACAATTTCGAAATTTAGTCGATTTGGGATTGCAAGAACCAAATAAGTCTGATTGAAAATTGGAATGGTGCAAAATGATGCGATAAGTGTCCCCGATACACATAATAAATATAGAATCCCTTTAATCTCAATGAATAACCGTAGACCTACTTCGTTATTATATGATCTAATCTTTTATATTTAGATGGTCCAGGAACAGTGAGTATTAAACCACGTCCTACCATGACTACTTATATAGAGGGAGATAACTTGCCACCTATTTCCTGCTCCAGCGATTGCTCCCCTTGTAACATCACTTGGTATAAGAACGTGGTCAGTCCTCTGAGTGCAGTGTCTACTAGAAATGGCGTATTGAACCTAACCAATATTACTGGCAATCAAGCAGGCAAATATATTTGTCAGGTTAAAAATGGTATCACTAATAAACTGCTGCAGGAGAATCTCGCCATTAACGTCGTGTGTAAGTATAGAATATCAAATCCAAAAGTGACCTCTCATTCCAAAAAACTCATTGGCGTCAAGGACGACGTACGACGTTATTCAACATCAATGATGTGACGTAAGTTGACGTCTTTGAGACGACGTTAACATTATTTCATTGATGACGCTAGGTGATGTGAAGGATACGACGTTATGTGCTGCGTTAAGCGACGTCAATGATTCGACGTTAAGCGACGTCAATGATCCAACGTTATGTGACGTTTGAGAAGCGCTATACTTAGTTCAATAATCTTAATCTTTATGATACGACGTTATTACTGGTGACGTAGATGATTGACGAGATCAACGCTGTTGTCTTACAACTGCCTTCCCCTGCCTGTAGTTTATTACAAAAGTCAAACAGATATATCATCCCTTTCAGATGGACCAACAGAACTAACATTAACGCCAGGAGATCTCCAGGCAGTAACAGTGGGTGGTAACATTGTACCTGTTAAATGCTCGACACAGTGTAACCCAGCTTGCCAGATCAAATGGTACCGCGGTACTGTGGGTGTGACCAATCTGATCCCCACTATCAACGGGGTCCTGGATCTAAGGAGGGTCCTGGTGCCCCAAGGTGGAGTATACATCTGTATGGCTCTAAACGTCCATAATAACAAGATGCAACTGAAGTTCTTCAACTTACTGGTCCAATAACGACACTCCGACTACCGTCTTCCGTTTTCGTTAGCGGAAAAGTAGGACGTAAAACCCCAATTAATTTCATTAATTTGTTCAAAATTGGAAAGTTTTGGAACGTGTTCTCTCGAAAGCTGGAGTTTTGAAACGGAGAGTTCTATCACTGTCTGCTACTTAAGGTCGGGAATTATTTAACATGTTATAATCTAATGGTTTGTGTTAGTAATAAAAACTACAATAGCTCTTAATAGTGTTTTATTTTGAGTGAAATGGGGTTGGGGGGGGGGGGGGTGGTCTGTTGGAATTGTATAGAATTTAACGACAGAAATGACGAAAATAATATTTTAACTATAGATAGGATTAGATAGGATCATGTCATTCAGGGAAGGATGTCGGTACTTTTGGTGCTGTTGATAAGTCTTTATCTTCTGAAAAGTCTTTTGTAAAGGTCTCGCCTTTTTTGCCTGGTGAACAGCTGGTTCCAAACAATGTGGAGACCGGTTAAGCTCATCCATCTGCATTACTTTATTTGTGGCTGGGTTTGTCAAACCTGCTTCCGAGAATAAAATGGTGCAGAAAAGTAGGACGTAAAACTCCATTCATTTCCACGCCACAGTTCCAAGCCAACATGTCTGTTCTTGTTCAGGTTGTGATCAAATTTTTCGAGAGGTAACCTGTTTCGTGTCCTCGTCGTCAGTTTTGGACCTGGCGCTAGTAGTCTCTGTATTTGCAGTAAAGATATTCGTAAATCTACTTTCAGACATTTTGGCTTTGATCATATCCTTATTCCGACTATTCAAACAGAAAGACAGAAAAATGAAAACGCCTTGAAGTCCATTCAAAATGATGTACACGTACCATAGGACGGAGATGTTGGTCGTAGACGCAATGAAGCCAAAGATCCACGTAAAACCCATTACTGATGAGAGTCTGACGTACATAAGACATCTTTTCTTATCCCTCTTTTTACCAATCGTTACTTCCGTTGACGCCATCGCTTTCTCGATGAAATATAACGTCATGATGAAACAGACGAAATTAAATACAAGGCTGATTCCGATTGGCACAAAGAAAGCATAAATATATCCAGACCTGGAGGACAGCCACGTACAAGACGAGGCGCCATATTGGACTTTAGAGTGATCTCCCGGAACAAGGTCCAATATGAGACAAACGAGAGCCATGACCATTGGAACACCTACGCATGCCAAGCAGTAATATCTGAAATTTCCATCACTGGACGAAACGCGGATTGTTTTTGGATGGAAAGTGATCAACATTTGCAGAGCTTGAGCACTCATCCAAGCAAAGGCCGACAACCAACTAAAATGCGTCACTGCTGCAATATATCGGCATACTGTGATGTCCTCACCAGCAGGTATTACCAGTAAAATTTGTCCTGAAATAAGAGAGACAGCCAGACCTATATTCAGCTTGGCGGGAACATTGAGTTTTGCAGACAGGAAGTAGACGATAATGGTTACTATGAGACAAATGATTGACACTGAAGAACAAGCCCACGAGACATACTTCTGTATATCGTCCATAGTAAAGAACTTGTGCGTTTTGTCGGGATTATAACACACAAAGGCGTTAGAATCCGAAATGTAGAATTCTTCGGAGCTAAACCTCTGATGATGTCCTACAATTTGCAATTCGCCATTGGCATCAAATTCATATTCGTCCTGTGTATAAACATAGAGTGCGTGCGAACAGTTGAAGACTGTGGAAGCATCAGTGTGCGGACACACGCAAACCTCCTCTACCGCAATACCGTCCGTTTTGCTGTTTGCTGTCGTCCGGAACAAGATATTCTCCATCGGATAAAGCAATGTTATGTTACCATCCTTCATTCGAGCAAACCAATTTTCTTTTACAAAAAACACCGTTGCGTTTGTGGTACAATGCAACGTTTCTACAATGCAGTTCTTGAATTCGCTAGCGTTCTGGTAATTATAAAACGTAAAATAAAAATCCACAAAAATCCTTTTGATTTTGTTATTTGAAAAAGAATCTAGGAAATCAATAGTAGATCGTTTTTCCAGATCGATTCTAATTAATGCAGAACCCTCAATTGCCTCACTTTGGGTTCTATTAATGATGAGCAAGTTCCATTGTGAATCCAGAATTGTGGCCAGTTTTTGGAAGTCGTCGCCAAAACTTTCTCCAAATTCCATCTCCGATTTTTTCACAATATTAACATAGATGACGTCAGTTCCGTTAGGAAATGGTTGAGATGAAGAAGGGACGTAAATCGTACTATTTTTCCAACATTCGCCTGACTTGGCGTACTCATCAGTCTTACATTTAAACTGTCGACATTTTTGAAAAAGATCATCAAATTTCTCATCATCGGCACAAACCTCACTGATTTTAAAAACTTGCTGATTGATTTTGATTCGTTTTTCCGATTCACGTGGTAACTGGAACAGGGTCATCAAACTGGATTCCGCCTCTGGATCTGGACATTGCGGATATTGTCGACTCGACTCGACAGCAAACTGGCAAATTAAGCAGCTCAAAACGCCATCCGTGTAAACATTTGCCTGCACAAGGTCCAAGCACCGAAAACAATCATTTCTTAAAACAGAATCCAACTCGTATATGATAGAACAAAATTTATCATCATAATCACGTGGTTCATAAACCGCCTGACACGTGCTATCGCGAAATATGGCCGCCATGTTGTTTCCACCATCGTGGAAATCTGTACAGTTATAGCTCACTGACCACGGCGCCACCTGGCTTTCAGCTACATCTAGATCCAGTCCATGACATACAGCACAGTGAATATTCTTAAAGGTAATGTCGATAGCGCCAATGTAGTCAACCGGTGGAAGGCGTTCGGTCGTCTGCTCACAATTCACAATGTCCGCCATCTTAGATGACATTGGACATGAACTGACGACAGTAATTGGAACGTCGTCGGAAATCTTCTCACAGGAGCTGGCCTGTTGGGTGAAAATAAGAGCGTTTGTCAGTGATGTTATGTTGTTTAAAGTCATCTGTATGTTTGCCATGCTAGATTGGTTTTGGATCAAGCTGTCAGCACACACTTCAGGCAGGAATCCACCAACTCGACAACGGCAGACCTCTAGTTGGAATTCGGGAATGGTGTAACAACCTTGCATAGTACATAATAAATAGTCTCCGGGCAAAATTAGTTGTGTACAAACTGAAATTAAAATTCATAACCTAGATTTCGTCTCATATTTTGATGATGAAAAGGGGAATTTGATAAAAAATAAGAGATGTTCTTTGGTAGGCTATAAAGAATGGATTGAGATATCTTGGTTCCTCTAATTTTCCTACAATTTGGAAGAGTTTAAAATTTATATTAAGAGAGACATGAGAAATTGAAATGAAATGAAATGGAATAAGTGAGAATGAAATGAAATGGAACTAGAGAGAGAATGAAAAGAAATTGAAATGAGACGAATGAACCAGAACAAGAGAGAATGAAATAAAATGAAATTAGTAAGACAATGCAGTGAAATGGAACCAGAGATATTGAGATGAAATAAAACAAGAGATAATCCAATACCATGGAACAAGAGAGAATGAAACGAAATAGAAAAATAGAAGAAAATAAATGGAATGGTACCAGAACATGGGCGAATGAAATGAAATAACACAAGTGACAGTGGGAATGGACTAGAGAGAATGAAATAAAATGGAATGAATCAAACGAATATATAAAAGTAAAAAGAAATGACATTAAACAAGAGAGAAATGAAATGAAATCGAACAAAGCAAGAAAGTCAATTCATATTTACCTAACCGCGGAATGACCGTTAAAATCAGTAGATAAAAGACCGGTGGTGCCATGTTTCAACTCTTGTGTTGAACCTCCTTCAGCTTTCTATCCGAACCGAATGACAAACATGTTTCAATTGATATTTTATAATAATCAGTGACAATCGTACAAATACTAATACTAAATTGTACATATTGATTTCTTAATTCATCATCTTCCCATAGACGATATACGATGGTGGAATGAAAGGTTCATTGGTTGAACCGGAAGGAGTTATGCTACAGCAGTGAAACTTAGTATACAGTGATTCAAGACGTTGAATAGTAGAACCAGAGATATTACCTTTGCCTTTGATCAAAAACACATCAGACCGGTCTGTCATGTCGAAGGGAAACTTGGCGTTTTTAAAGCAGATCCAGACAGTTTCCTGAAAGGTTTTCCCATCTAAGATGAGTGTCGATGCAATTGAAACACAACTCTTCTTCACAAAGGAAGAAGCTAAAGGTAATGTTTCTGGTTCTGCTTTTCCAAGTCTGTAGCATCTAACTCCTTCTAAATCAAAGGTGTACGACGCAGATTGCAGCATGGGTATATAGATGAAAGGGATTGAAAGTCACCCTGACTCTTGAAAGCATTGGCCGTGCCTTCAAAATTGTTTTAACAACGTGGAGTATACGAACCCACGGCACCTAGTCGACTAGCAGACAATAATCTAACTGACTGAACTATTCCACTACAATTGTTTGAAGAGAAAAATCTTGATTATGCGATGATGCTGAAGAATTAGTACATAAATAAATGGTAATTGTTGTACTGTGTTATCTACATCATTTCATCCTGCGTTAAAAAACTACAAATATATATATACAAAGTAAATGATGACAAGTTGGCTAGAATAATCCACCAATATCGCTTGTGAGAGTCAGGGTGATCCCGGACATGACGTAGTATGGTATAAGGATAACATTTCCTTTAGTTATAGGGTACGATGAAGGAACATGAAGGTGGCTTGATGAGATTTGCCCAGATCACCACGCCACTACAAAAAAACCGTCTGAAAAAAAAACAATGGTTGAATTAGTTAAATGCATTTACGTAACAGTTGGAATTAAAATGGAATGAATTACGTAGATTTACTATCGCATCAAATACATTAACAAATTCATTAACAGAAATGTGAAAACTCTATAAAATGTTATAAATACTGTAAAAACAATAAGCAACACAAATTATCTATTGTATGTATATAAAATCCAGGGACTACGGTGGCTCACATACGACATTTATTTTTATTTTGAATTAAAAACTTTAAATTTGACCCAGGTGATAATTATTTTCACCTAGGTGAAAATTAGGTGATAATTCGTGTAACCGAGTTCTTTAAGGTGATAATTGAAGAATTTTTGATTAAAAACATTTTTTACAAGGTTTCGTTGAATTATAACCTAGGTGGAAATTAATGTTTTTAATTCAAAATTAAAAGTGAAATATGTCGTATGTGAGCCACCGTTAGGGAAAAAGGCTGAGAGAATTTTTTTAAAATGGTACTTAGTATGAAGAATGGATAAAGATAACTTGGTTCTTAGTATGAAGAATGGATAAAGATAACTTGGTTCTAGTATGAAGAATGGATAAAGATAACTTGGTTCTAGTATGAATAATGGATAAAGATAACTTGGTTCTAGTATGAAGAATGGATAAAGATAACTTGGTTCTAGTATGAAGAATGGATAAAGATAACTTGGTTCTAGTATGAAGAATGGATAAAGATAACTTGGTTCTAGTATGAATAATGGATAAAGATAACTTGGTTCTAGTATGAAGAATGGATAAAGATAACTTGGTTCAAGTATGAAGAATGGATAAAGATAACTG